AATTATTCCGTCGAGTAAAATGTATATTGAAGCAAATGCAAATAATTTAATGGGACTATAATTTTAGATGCGTCTCGGCTAATTGTGTCGCAATGACGACCGCCGACGTTAATAAAACGGATATGATTAATATATCATAGTTGAAATGAACCTAATACCACGGCTGTAATCAAATGCTGAAGTGAATGCCAGATAGACTCGATGGAATCGTAATTATATCTCAACTCGCGGATGCAATTACAATAATAAATGAATCGGAATGCAACTCTCGGTTCCAACGGATTTCCCGGTAGAAATTTGTCGGCGTGCAAGAAAGCTTGTTGGAAACTCGCATACGACGCCGTAACCGCGGCCTAAGTCGTCGAAGTGAAGACTACGACGTTCGGATATTACCCACGGCAAGGAGCTATTACGGCCGGGTACAACTTCCCCGCAATCCCGATCGTCGAAACGACGGCGGCGACGGATCGTTCACGATTCACGATCCGCCGAGACGACGGAGCCGCATTCACGATCAAGTTTCTGGCCCGTTCACGAGCTTGCGGTTACGTTTAGTTCGCCATACGCCGAAATTATACCACGCGGACCCTTCTCTCTCTTCCCCCCCCCCCCTCTCCGTCTGCTCCTATTGTCCAATGTATGTGTCCACCTGCGGTCCCTGCTAGAATGCTTACGGGGCTTGGACGTTGCACTAGTATCAACCATCGTCGATTCAGACAATACCGTAGTTACATTTTTGTCAATCTAACCGTTAACTCTCACGAGAAAATTTTTTTTTAAATGAGTAATCGAAATTCGGAGTCGCCGGAACTGACTGAAGTAAAAGTCACGACTCGTACGAACTAACCCGGACATGAAATCGTATTTAAAATAATATTTATAAGTTAAACATCTGTATGAATTTGACCCCTATAATATCCCACACTACACGGAGAGAATTTTCTTTTAAAATTTACCCTGAAATCATGGTAGTTGTGGCCGTTGTGGGATATGTACCACCACGAATTTTATGCGAGCTATTCTGATTAATATCTACCGTAATAACAAATATTAATATCTATTACATTAAAATATAAAATGCGTTTGATTAATTTTACTAAAATATATCTAGGGAATTTCAATAATTTTTCAAAATTTACCAATCTGCTTGGTAATTTTTATCACGTTGTTTGTAAAATGTCTTTTGTATATTTTAAAAATTCCTTGGTTGCCAAGTTGTCCCAAGTTTGTAGTAAATTTAAAGGTAAAATATAACAAAAAATTCTCTCCGTGTATTAACGATAAATAATATTTTTATTTATCTACAAAAACAGAAAATTCTCAAGTGCTTGCAATTGCGATATTGTTTCTGATATTAAAGAAAATATCTTCATGGAAAAAGAATAAGAGACGTATAAACGAAATTATTGGCTATTTAGTGTTTACTTGCTTATTTTCTCAACGAGCGCAATTATAAACATAGCTTGTAAAAATAAACGCAAAACGCCATAGTACTTTTATTACATGAAAACAAACGATTGCAATCCGTGAAAATCATAGAAATTCTCGTTACGAAAAGGACCGATTTATAAATCCTTCACTCGTTAAATCCGTGGTTCCGATGGTTCTAGTCACAACCGTGGACGAACGTTTATTTCCCACCGAAAGTCTATGGTCTGTACTACCCCCTTATTCGTGACCTCACCGACACAGTAACCGCACGCGTGTATCTCCAATAGGGGAATCTGGCACGATTCCAAACGAAGAGGACGACTACGACAACGACGCCGTCGTCGTAGCCGTCTATGACGAAAATGAGATTCCTAGTTTAATGCGGCGAGTGGCGACGGGCGTAAGATAACGTGCTATTCAGAAATCTCATGTCAATTGACTATATGATCCGCGGAAAATCGGTATCGTGCAACAATAACCGTTAACAATATTCGGCGATGCCTACTAAACAAAGAAAAAACCGTCGCACCGTCACAGCGACAATGATTTTTATAAATTGTATAACGTATCTGCGTTATATCAGTGCAGATGCGAGAGAAACGCGCGTAATAACAACGGAGGAATCCCTGCCGGACTCGCGATACGAAATTTCGAGCTTTTTTTCCAGAATCCGGATGAAATGGCTCCCTTCGCAATGCGCCAAACAGTATTTCGCGCAATTCACGCGCGCGGCACTCAAATAATTTCGAATTGAAATCGAGGACGGCGCGCGGCCTGCATTTCCGTTGTTGTACGCCGCGCATTCCGATGCGTTCGCGGCGACGAGGCGCACGCGACCCGCTTCGAGATACGCTCGTTCGAACGCGAAATTTATTTCTCGATTTCGCTCCGGGTTGCGACGAGAGTCGCGAAAAGTTACGAGGGGAATATTTGATACCGGTTGGGCGTGCATCAGGGCGTCGCCGATCGATCTAACCGACTCTTTCAGTCTTGCATTGCACGAGAGCTTGCCTATTATTATTATAATACTCTTCCTCTTATTATTGGTTTATTATTTACTAAGCTTCAATCTCTTTTACTACCCGGAGGAAATAAGTGATAATATTACCTAACTCGAAATAGTATTAGCAGATTGATTCTATTGTATTATTATTGTTATAGTGGCAGATATACAAACCCATTATATAAACGATTCTGAAAGTGGGTAATAAGAGATTTAAAAAAGCTGCAATAGTTTGGGAGCAATTTTTACTTATTGCAAAAAATACAATTCAAATTAAAAAATATTAAAAGCGATCGACTCGAAGGAATTTAATAAAACAGAGGGTACGAGTTCTAATAATGTATACACGGCAAAAAAAAGCTTTTACTTTGACTAATTTAACGTCAACGTTACTTCGACAAACTTTCTCTTCGAAGTTTAATTATCAGGATGTTTCATGTTGAAAATTATGAACGCATAAAGCGTCTATGTTTTTTCCCACACTCGTCAAGTTAAGCGTAAGATTTCTAGTCGTAACTTCCCGCGACGTCCTATATCCGTACGCCGAGTTAATTACACGAATATAACTAGGTACGGTATCAATAAATTACTATAATGTTTTTGTAAGGACCAATCAAGAAGGATTATTTCAGCAGACGCTCTCATACGGGGACTGACTCGCGTAACACGGAACAAACTCGATTATTTATGGGCACATTAGCGACGCGAACTAACGAGGGCGTGCTCAATGAATTACTGAAATCGTATTCAGCCGGAAAACCATCTGCGGTTATGGAATGACGTTAAACAAAGCGTTAATCCTCTGATGCACTTTGGGAGTTAAAATAACCCCGTGCGTGTTGCACATAATTGACTTGTCACGTATGCAGTTTTGGGAATATTGGCTTATTAAGATATAAAGGATATCCCGGAAGACCACTGTGTAAAGATAGTAGAAACCAGTTTTGAGCGTAACTTTCGAGTTTTGAGATAATATTTTCGTTGTTTATATATGTTGAAACCCCCTGTGGGTTTAGAAAAACCGATAAAAATTATGAAACTTTTTTTTTCGTTTAAACTCAAGTACGACATTATATAATGTACGGCTTAATTTATTAAAATAGTTACATGTTATAGATATATTCGAAAAATAATATTAAATTAAATATAAATTATTATGACAATTATAAAATTTGCCGATGCTCCTCGACTCGACTCGACTGTTCATAAATTCTGAAAAATAACATTCGATAATCACATTCACAATAAACACATTCGTTATAATATTAGCAAAATTTCGCTAACAACATTTAGCTATATGCTTTATGTTTTCAACTCTTCATTAAATTGAGACTTGTTTTAACGCAATTTGCAATTTCACCACGTGTCGATTTAAGAAACCAGTGTTCGATTATAATCAGATTGGAACCTTTCAGTAATGTGAAAATGGATAGAGTGCATCATATAGGAGGATTAAACAAGGCACCCTCAGGTGCGCCGAAGCTTGCTCTTCGCGAGTAGCGAACGCAGCCGTGCACATGTGCCGACGGAAACCGCCTCGGAATAGCGGACGCGGGCGGCCGCACGCTATCCATCACGAAGCTGAAGTTGAGGGATACTGGCTAATTACTTTGTCCGCGGACAGGCGCGCGCTCGTCGGTGTATAATACCACGCCTAATCTCGAAATGTGCCGACACTAACTCTTTCGTCCGCGATCGCGCGGTGCCGCGCCGGCTTAATGACGGTAATACGCCTCGTTTACGCAATGTAATTCCGGTACGCGGAGTGAGCGTGTATAAATATTGATCTAGTTGCTGCAATGACTATCAACGGCGCTCTCACTGCACCGCTTTATAACGTTGACACGCGGCGAGGGACAGAGAGACAGAGAGAAAGAGAGAGAGAAGGAGAGACACACACAAACAGAGAGACAGCTTCGAGATTATCGAATTGTTGATATTATCCCGATAATCTCGAATCAAGATCCCCTTCGGTCGGTCGAGGCATTATCTGCCAGCGTAATTAGTTCCTTTGACACACATGTTTTGCGCCTTATCGTTAAATCAATGCGAATAATCGGTCTTCTATGCGTGGACAAATATCGAGAAAATAGATTTTCCAATAGTAATTAAGTATTATAATCACTGCGTTTTAAAAATTTGTGGAATAATCTCTTATAAAAGAAAGAGATGAAGATAACGCATAATATTTACGTCATAGTAGTCCATGATATTATGTTATACTATTTCTGTTATCATTGCGCAAATATTAAATTAATAACAACCGTGGCGGTGAGTTACCAGCGTCGACCAAATTGTTAAATAATTTCAACACAAAAATAACCGCAGTATTAAAACGATAATATCATATAATGCAGCGAGAGATAATAATTTGATTCATTTGATTGATTTGTAATGAGACGAAAATTACATAAAGGAATATGAAATTCAATTTTATTCTAATATAATGCACTTATCTCAATTTAATCATAATAATTGATGATTATATCGAAGTACCTGCTAAGGAGCTATACGTATTTCTGCTTTTCTCCGATCGATGAAGACGATAAGATATAAGTGGACTTACCCAAAACAGTACCGACGTAGGAATGCGACGTGTCGAAAGATATCGGTCCGTTCGTGCCCTCGAAGGATACATCCTTGCTGAACAGACTCGCGTCGCGAAACAAGCGTATCGTCCAGGATCTGCAAGATGAATCGTGATCGTGCATGATATATTGTGAAGTATCGGGTCGAAAGAATTTTTTTGTATGGGTCTCCATAGTGCGAGGAGAGTAATTATCGGCGTTCCTCGCGTGCCATAATATCGGTTCGCTACGGATCGTTACGCAAAAGGCCGATAATCTGGTAATAACATGAATAAAGGAAAAGGAATCGTCGGAGCAAAAGAACGGTGAGATAGATCATTAAAGTGTGTGCGTGCTACGATTACGAAAAACTGTATCTCACTTATCTGTACAGAGGAATTACTTTACAATTTTATTTCAGAGAGAGATCTGCCGAATATCTCTTCGACGTCGATGAAGCAAAGTACGGCGGATTCTTCGCGTAACTATATATAATGTTCAAAGTACGATGTTTCGCGTATTATAGAAACAAAGGATTGACAAAGGATTCCCCGGGTATCATATTATATACAGCTGGAACGCCGAGCTAAAATCCACGACCATCTCATCGGATTTATACAAAAAAAAACATATTATTCTTAACTGAAATATATATATAAGCCGGCTCGTACAAACTCTCCATATAGTACGTCGATTTGCTCGCGTATACGAAAGAGGAAAATAACGCAAGTACAGACGTAGAAAATAAATATCTTGATTTCTCCACCGAGGCGCAATATCGCTCTCGACTACTCTCGAGCATACTTTGTATGAAATGTCAGGTCAGTCTATAAGTTCATGCGTACTTTACTATGCCGGTATATTTTAATCTGTATGGGTGGAATAAAAAGGTTGCCAGTAAAATGACAACAGATTATCGATAACGATGTAACAGTTCGGGTCGTTGATTAAAAATGAAAATAACCATTCAAGACTGAAAACGTTTTAAACGTTTAAATTATATTAAAAATATATATGCCAATATATTATACTTATTATTATTATTATTATTATTATTATTATTATTATTATTATTATATTCCACAATACAGTATTAGAGAGACCTATATAAAATGTTGAATATTTAAAATAAAATTGTCTCAAAATAATTCTTGCCAATAAGTAAAATGCAAATCTTCGTAATCGTGACGTATATCGCTTCTTATTCCCGGTAAATAAACTCACGGGATTGACCCGATATGACGGTGGATGTTTCCCACAATTTCGAGATACGACGTTCGAAACCTTCGAACCTCCAAAGACAGCTTAAGCTCAAGACGAAACCATGTAACATCATACGGATCGAAGTGGCTTCTCGCCACCAACGGATTCAGCAGCGCTAAATATACACGCGCTCTTTCGCTCCTGCAAGTGGCATTTACGTAACAAATCCGCCTTTAACGAGATCAAAGTCGGTTAAGATTGACGTTCGCGCCATCGAATCCCGCAGAGGCGAATATGCAAAACGGATTAATATCGTACGTTGACGTTCATCATCGAGACAGTCAAGTACGACAAGAGACATGACGAAAATAAGTCATATATATAGCGCGAAGCGAGCAATATATATATATACATATATATACATACTGCGAAAAATATTGCAGTAAACAGATTATAAAAGTGGACAAGAAAAGCGAGTCTTGAAAAGCGTGAAAATCAAAATACTGAAAAATAATATAGAGGTACAGAAAAGTTATTGACGTTTTCATAAATATTTGCTTCTCCGCTATACCTACTATGAAAATGCGTGCAAAAACAACGTATCGCGAAAATAAATTGTGGCTTCAAATATAATGTATCCCGGTATTCTTTTCAATGCAAAAACGAAGAAATTCTATCTATATTTTTGCAGAAAAATAATGGTTGGAACACAATATGTATTTTTTGAAGATATAATATATACGAATTAGGTATATGTGTTATAATAGGTCATGTATGCATTCTATAAAAATAAATTCGGCCTCGTATTACTATTTCGTACAAAATGCAGCAGCAAATAAATTATGAAGGAGATACTTTTGCAAGAGACGATATAAACATGCATTGCATAATATTAGAGCATGGTAAATTGAAACGTATGCCCGAAGAACTCGTTAGCGCCTTCATAAATACGCTTCGCATACATTTATAGTTATTTTAAATCAAAATACATTCGTCCAGTTAAAAATATGTAACGTAATTGCGCTCGCGCATATACTTTATCTAGATTAAATATATCGCGCGACATATTTAACCAAGACTGTGTCAAGATTATAAAATCGTATATGCTACAAAATACAACAATAAAATAATATTTGTATAATATTAACATGCAAAATACAAGTGCCATGTGAATGTAAACTGTAAAGAGTTTACTAATTCACCGTATTGCCAATCCGTAAATTGCATCATATTTTACTCAAATTCCGACTGTCGAATTAATCTTCAATTTATATTGGATTTTACATTATTAATTGCCTGGTTTAATTTTATCTATTTCTCTCTTCTCTTGGTAAATCTTTGCTTGGCTGAAAGGTAACTCCATTTTTAACAAAAATAATCGCCGTGATAGAGTCATCGCACAACGGGTGATTGACACACGATGACGATCAAAGATCAGCGAGAAACCAATGGTCATTGTAGAATGTGATGGAATAACGACGTGATTGTCATTGGACAAAACGGTACTAGAACTTATACGACTTTCACAATGACGATGTGCAAGTACGTAGTATGCTTCCGAATATCTCGTTAAAATCCGATTCCGCGATGATGATGGATTTACATTGAGAGTCAAGTGAAACCAACCCAAACGCGATTCACGTTTAAATGGCGCATGCTAAATATGTCCTAAGTATACCTGAAATATAATGCTGTTGACGAAATATTATGTTTCAATTAATTAATATTCGTATATATCTTTCTTAATGTCGTTGGAATTCTTGATTAGCAAATTGTTAAAAAAATTATAAAATTATCAGAAAATCTTAATCATAATCATTAAATAATCATAATCATAATCATCTTAATCATTTAATTTGTGCATATATTTCATACTTTACAAAAAGTTGCGAGAATTTAAAAATATAATTGTACTTTAAGTTTATCTTCGTGTTAATAATTAATTTCACTTTCCATCACTCCTTTTTCAAAAAGTGCCGCTCGTATAAACTCTCGAAACAGACATAATTTTATCTATAAAGAATGGAGCTCTTAATGCGTCACCAACTAGAGACTGTTCGCGCTTTTATTTAGAGACCTGCCGGGACGATCGTAATTCTTTTCGCGGCATTTATTATCGTAGCGGCGCGAAGACACCGAAGGAAGAAACGACTCTAGCGTGCCCGGCAAAAAGACGCTAAAACGCTGGATTACCATAAAGATACGCAGGGCCAGAGTCGGGACGCATTACGCGAGGAATTAGGGGAAGCATAACAATTAGTCGCGGCTCTTTATAGCGCACACGTTGCTACTTCCGCGACAATCATTTTCATAATCCGACGTCGGCTGCGCCTTCATCGCGGACCGTACATTAAATCATCAGCTTTGTCTTGGGAGGCTCGTTGTGTCATATCTTTGCAGCATCGCGAAAAAGTCGCTTAAGTGCCGCTTTCATCGCCAGAAGCTTGTGAATAAAAGACGAACTCTCGTTGCGCATCCAGCTATAATCTCTCGCAAGTTTGTATTATACAAGATGCTCTAATTAAAACGTCTGGCTATCATTCGTCGGATAACCGAAAACGTGACATATGAAAAAAGACTGATATAAAAATAGAGAAGCGTTAAAAAGAAACCATTAAATCATTGAAACGTCGAAATATCGACTTTTTATTTCCGCTAGAAGTACGAATTTCTTCTACTTGGAGCTCAACTAATATATATTCAATCTAATCTCAAATGAAAAAGGTCTTTAATGGGATCGCACCATCAAGAGATTAAAAATTTCCCTCGAGAAAAACTCGGCGCCAAATTCCTTTGGCAGAAGTAGAACTTCGCTATTGCTATACTTCTAGCTTCCTTTCTCGCGGATCTATTCTACCGTCGACTTTCAGATAAACTTCACCAGTGGCAAGTTATCTCCGTTATCCCCGTTATCACAAATATTGCTCCGAGCAAGCAACTAAGAGATTGAAGCACATATTTATTAATTCAACCTAGCACTCCTAACTGTTATGAAGCGTGCCAGTGCATTAACGTAGTCGCGCGATGGGAAAGCCGCCGTTTAATAATTCGATGATCGCTCTTTGTAACGGTTACGAGCAACGAGACGACCGTGCCGCGAAGCGGAAAAATAAGTTCGCATAATTTCCCAGTTTTTCCTCGAGAAAACTTTCGCGTAACGTTGCGCGAACGTTTATTTTCATAATGATTATAAGCGCGCGATATGTAATATTCTTTACGAGTCGCGCGCGCACGCGACACGTTGCGCCGTTGGGTAAATTTCACGAGTTTGTCACGGTGCCGCATTTCCGCAACGAGAGTCGGCTTTATTGCATTGAAGGGCAACGCTGCTGTTTTCGGAAGCAGAGGGTGGAACACGGGGTCCGGCCGTGTGCTCTTTAGCTTTTATATAAACGCCCATAACAACGCCCCCGTATGCACGGCGAAACGATGCGTTGGCTTCGCTGAATGCTGTTGCCCGGCGTGCCCACGTACGGGAAAACTGGATCCGCAACGTACCGAGAGAGGCGCGCCGAGGTACATGGTCTATTCATGCGCGAAGTCTTCCACCCAGAGGCGAGCCGCGCGGCTAGAAAAGTGAGAAGGTGTCGCATGTACACGAGTATCTATTCCCGGCTTAACCGTGCCGCTTCCCAAGACCAGGTTATATACCGAGAAATCGCTTAGGAAATATCGCGAAAGTTTATTATCTCATTCACTCAAAGTTAAACGGAAGCGGTGAAGCTATTGCAAATCGTTGGAAAAAACTATTTTCCTGAAACGTCATGAGAAAAATATTCTTACAATAATAGTTTTTTTTCTAAGCGCTCTTAATTGTAAGCGTTTTTGAAAAACAGGATATGTTAATATTGTATTGTAGTATATAGAGATTAAAATGTTAAGAAAAAGAATCCAAAACTGTGTTTCTTTTTTAGAACATAGATTTTAATCTTTTCGAAGAACTAACTTTTTTCCTAACTTCTATGATGCAGTTCTAAAAGGATTAAGTAAAAATTAACATTTTACAACGTAACGATCCGACAATAGAATGTGATAACCATTATCTTATGGAGCTCTGTGCACATCGTTCAACTATTTTTATAATCTGTCCCGCAGAATCTAAAGCAAAAGAACGAACGTATATAACGACAATGCCGCGAAGGAATTCGCGAAAGACGAACGGCGGACTTCTCTCGCGAAGTATGAGAGTAAACCGGCGTCTTTGCCGCGATATGGCCAATAAATTCGCCTGGTCGCACTAACGGTATTACCGAAAAAAGGAAGGAAAATCATACAATACGATACTCGACAAGAACGGCCACAAGAAGCGGAGACCGCTGCTGCGACGGAGAACGGTGGCGTGTGTGCCGCACGGAAACTTCTTTCTTCTCCTCTCCTCAACTATTATCTTGCCAGTTTGTACCAGGTGCACCGGGGTAGAAACGCCACCGTCGTACAGTAGCGACGGGGAACGGGGCAGGAGGGTGTTGCGCGGGCGCTTGGTACGACGACGACGACGACGACGACGACGAGGGATGGAGGGAATCGCACGGCACACTCCTGCTTTACATTTTATTGCCCGACGTGGATTCGACCGATTTACATAAAGAGACGAACGCTGTAGTTACATTGGCGGACTATGAAAGCGACCGGGGGAGAAGAGGAGATGGGGATGGTGGAGATCGAGGGATGTTTCTCGTGTCTCCTACCAGCTTGAGAGGGGCTGCGTGCCGTTTGTCGCCCAAGACGAGAAATTTGCGAGGCAGTGGAGGTGTGTGAAACGCGAATACCAATACGTATCTCTCTCTCTCCCCTCTCTCTCTCTCTCTCTCTCTCTTTCTCTCTTTCTCTTTCTTTCGCTCTCTTAGTTGGCTTTTTCTCATACTCATTTATTTAACATTCCTGAGACAGCTTTACGTAAGAAATTCTTCGTGAACTGAAATTCTTTCGAGACTGATACTCTCCGGAATTGCTGGAACGTAGGACGGCAGCGGATATTGTGTGCCCGACGGAATGCACAGTCGTATGATAACAGTGAGTCGCGGAGCAATGAAATAAGCGGCCTGTAACCAGGCAATTGCGATCGATGAAAGTTTATATGATCATACGTGTTGCGTAACTGACTTCGGTAGAAATCGCATATATACATACATACATACATATATATATGTGTATATATATATATATATATATATATATATATATATATATATACATATATAATGTTTTCTACACCTAAAAATCTGAAATAAAATTGCCCTGATTCGATCGAAGTAATTCCATTAATTTCAGTCACCGTTTTATTCCCCTCTAGATGAAAATACAAGGATACCACGTGTTCTTTTCTGGAGCATACTTATACGACTATTCCCACACAGTCTAGTTACGCTAACGGAATCGCCATTGCAGCGCCCTAATTCCACAACACTTTAAGGAGATAAACGCGGAGCCACGAATTTCCTTTGCGACGAATTTTCGAAAGTAACGAGTAATCACGCCAACGGGAAACGCGAAAAAAGGACAATGACGTCACGTTATCGTCGTCGTCGTCGTCGTTGCAATTAGTGGTAATTACACGCGTCTAAATCCGGCACGCGGGAATCGCGAGATTCGACCTCGCTTCTCGATTCCTCGAGAGGATCGCTCTCTCTTTCTTTCCTTCTCTTCCTCTTTCCCTCTCCAGGGTGCCGCAAATCCTCTGGACTGTCGGATCAAGAAGTACCCGCCAGTTAATTAGCTTAACGTCTATGAATTACGGGCGAAATTTCCTCGAGAACTTGTCTCCCTTTCCTTTTCCCGAGAGGGGAGAGGGGAAGGAGAGGAGCAAGAAAGGAGAAACGACGGCGATGGGCCCGCGCGTAAACCATTTCTATCGAGTCACCTCGCTACGGTTGAGATGCTGGACCATTCGTTGTAACTTTGCAATCTACATGATGCACGCGGTCGTCACGGTTCCCTGCATAATGTATAAGCTCGACAAATGTTTAATGTTGCTTCCCCTTTCCCCGTGGAACGCAGAATTCGGCGAAATTTTCGAACAGACCGAATCGAGCAGATTTAATGCGATTAAACAGTTCGTCGAACACGATCTATATTATGGATTGATACGATTATCTCATGGTATAATTAAGAAAGACGCTTTGCATTTTCCGTATATATTTTAATATGTATGTAATCCTGTTAATATTATTATTTAAAAAGTAACAAATTTGCTTTATTTTACTGCAATTGATAAGGGATATAAATATATACCAAATAAAAATAACGATGAAATATATGTAATACGTCCCAGACGTAAAAAGTCACCAAAGTCTAAATTTACCATAAAAAGAAAATTAAATTACATGTAAAAGAATTAAATGGATGAACAATTGACAAGAACATTGAAAGACATTAATAGAACTTTATCTTATTTTTTAATTCTTGCTTTTCACATTATAAATGCCGAAATTTCATTATTACTAATCAATCCTAAAATTACAGACACAATTTTTATTTATTTTAATATTTATGGTCATTTTAATATGTGATGAATCACAATTAAAAGGAAATCAAGAATTAAAATTTCGTTCGATTTAGTCTCTTTATCTATTCTCGAACAATAAAATGGTAAAATTCCTTATGATTGGCGTTTGATTTTGGAAGTTACATATAATTTGATTATGGAAGTTATATATATAAAACTACAAAATTAAAATTTACTTCGAATTTTAAAGGCAAAAGAGACGCAAGTGGCTACCTTTAGTTCAAGTTATTAAGCATTATTTTTTCACCATTAACGAAAATTATTATTAATTTATTTCCTAATTACGTCACGTAATACAAGATAACGCGTTAACAAAAGTAATTTTGCAACTCATAAAAAAGATTGTTAATGAATAAACAATATTTACATTAGGGCAGGGGATTGAGAAACTTGTAATTTTAATATACAAATTCTGCGGTACAGAAACGAGTGGATTGAAGAATTTGAAAAAGCCACATCGTATACCGTTACAATTCGGAAGACAAAACGAAGTCGGACCGTTATCTAACGGCCATTTCTTAAGTTCGTAAATACGCTGCGAGTGAAAGCGCGATTCAATATTTAAACGGTTCCGTCGTAATACACCGACACTGACTAGAGCGCAGTTTGTATTCTTGCTGAACTGGAGCGCTATCATAAATTGAACTTTCTGGCGTTGCGTCTCTTATATTATTAAATATAACCGTAAGAGAGAAACTCCCCGTGATTGTCGTTCCCGATAGTAAATCCAGTTCGACGTGAGGGCATTAACATTGATATTCGACACGAGAACAGATGAAAGAACGCACGTCTCCTACTTTTCAGTTGTTATAACTGTAAGCGTTGTAATTGCTAACAAAAATGTCTCGTCATAGAAAACATTTCAATAATTATTTTCTACATGTTTTATCGGACGTAGCAGGATAAGAGGAAGTTTTTTTTATTAAAGATAAAAATGATAAATGACCTACATGATATAAAAAGCAGAATATCTATAGTTTCTCGAAACACCCTGAAAAACAGAATCACTTTTCTTTCTTCTTGATGAGACAACAATTGATGAGACACAAACAGGATTGGAAATTCCTATCTCAGAGAAGAGAGAGAGCCAGAGACAAAACGCGAAAGAGAGAGACTATATATCGCATTAATTGATACGTCTAATTAATAAAATAAAATAATTTTACAATATGAGCGACCTACACAAACTAGCTAGCAATAAGCCACACGTGAATTAGTCTTGGCCACCATCTTTAATCGGATCCAGATACTACTGACTTAACAAGGACATACCGAGAACGTGCGGGCGGCACATATACTGGTAACTGGTCCACGATCGCTTTACGACCAGTGTGTAGGAGATACACGTATTCGCCATTTTCGAAATGCCATTTGCAAGAGATTGTATAATAATAGTAACTTGTTCAGAGATATTTTCGTCTAGATACCGTTAAATCGCGAAAAATTCTTCAATATTGTAGATTGTGGTCTCGAAACCAAAATTTTAAATTTTTCACAATGGTTTAAAAGCATTTGTCGTATCTTGATTGAACATCCAATTGATAATCTCGATATTTCAACAGATTCTTCAGATATCCAGATTCCGTATCGATCTCTCCGTCTCTACTCGGAACACACCGCGAGCGAGGGAGGGAAGAATCCGCTGTATGTATATGTACCAAGATAGAGAGAAGCGAACGAAGGAGTTTGCTTATGGGATTCACACTCACCTGTCGAGCGTCTTCAGGTTCAAAATCAGGGGTTGCTCGGAGTCGGTGACGTCGCGGCGTATCCGGTTGCGATGTCGTCTCAAGGCTACGGTGTCATATGTGGCTGCCTCGTAGTACCTGATATACGAGCTGCGCGTGATATCTGAAAAGCACACGAGAAGGAAACGGATGTACTATTAGTGGCCGTATAAGAAGAATGCGTTGCGCAAACGGTAAACCGCGAGTCACGCAAAGATGAATCGCGCCATAAAGATGCGTTTGTATCAGATGCTACCACAGCACAGGCGTGATTGAGGAGGCGAACGAGCGTTCATATTCTTCAGATAAATAAAAAAATTGTCCCGTTAACTTTTTTATGAGACAAAGAAAAACGCGATATAAAACTCATTCGAGACTAAAGGATAGTTTATTGTTGGTACTTTTTCTTTATAAATGCATAATAAGTGTAAAATTATATCTGAAAAATATTTTTAAATTCCCTTTTATGAGATGTTGAAAAAAATTGTATTGTAATTTAAGAATAATAATTTTATATTGTTTTATATTTACACTGAGAGCTTATTAATAATACAAAGTCGAGGAAAAACGATCTGGATTAATTTTTCCAAAACATATCGCAATTTTCTTGTCAGATATTAGTGGTACCTGGAGCTCTCTGCCACATGATATAAACGCACCTTAAAGCGTACATAATTCGCGCTCGATTGCTCACGGTGGGAAAAAACGCGATGACTATACCACGTTTTTTTTTCCTGCCGAGATCGTTGCAAAATTCGAAGGCGCGTAGGTCGGGTATGGCACTTTCACTGCGTGGTTTATTACAAAAGCATACGATAATCTCGACTAAAGATCATATAATACAAATTACACATATCTATCTCGAAAAAATAGAATCAGATTTTGACTTTCGATATTTTATCTTCATATTTGTCTCTGAGCTCTCTTTGTGTTATTCACGACAGTCGCAATGAAAAGGTAAAATCAACCAGTCATGTCTATCATTATAAATGCATAATGGTGAAATAAATTGACGCATTTCGTATTTACGAAAATTCTAATTCGGATTGGACGATTATATATAGATATAACATGGTCTGAGAGTATGACTCCGCATAATATCCGCATTTACAGATTGAAACTAAATAGTCATATTTTGCATCGAAAATGCTGAAAGATAATTAATATATCTATTCTTTTATATGGATGCGACCTAAATCTTAATCATAAGAAAAAGAGCAAATTGCAAGGCTCAAATTTAATTTCTTTTTTTAATAATTATAAGAAGAATCTGAGATGCACTGAAATATCTTACCATCGGCAATACTTGCATTACCTACAATTACTTAAGTACGCAGCTACAGTTACGTATCGCGCTCTCTCATTGGACCTTCTTCTGTCGCTAATATAATTTTATTAATATCAAAGGGCCTTCTTCTTTCACTTCATCCTATCAATTTAAATCTACTCGTGCTTCAGTAGATGCCGACGTCTCATCGCAATAGCACTGCAAAATCAATTAATTTATTTCCGCGCGCATTATGTACACGCTGCGAAATGTTACACTCACTCCGCGGAAACTCGCTTAGTATTTTAGGATGAAAGGATCACGGAAATTTTAAGAGGAAACGAGCATTCACCACGACTACTCGACCGAGAAAACTCCTCAGAGACGCGTTTTCAGATCTCGGACGAGTGCAGCGGCCGAAGTGCACTTGTTTCGCGTCCACTTTACCAAGAGGATGCGCACACCCACACATACACACATTAACCATCAGTCCCGCCGCTAGATTTCAATATAGCGAATTTAATAACGTACCGATATTTTTATATAATATGCGCGAAAGTGATCCGCCGATATCGAAATACCTATATTTTTTAACAGCACGCGCTCAAAGAGCTTAAAAATAAAATCAACAATGTTTCACCCGAAAAGATTGAAGAATTTCAGCGGATATTCCGGGAATGTGAAAAATAAAATTTAATTTATTCGATATAATTTCATTAATTGTAATCGTAGCGTAGCGCTATTAAACACAGATAGGTAAGTGGAAGAGTATTAATGCGTGAGGCTTGGGTAGCTTAATAGTCGTTTGGTAAGCGAAAACTCTCGGGTTCAATCCAGTCACGTTCGGATCCAGTTACCTGCGCCCTATATTTTTTCCTCGCCCTTAAAAGTATCTAATTATTGTCACGAGAAAGAGCGAAAGTAAAAGAAACAAAAAAACTCGTTATTCATCATTCGATTTGATAACTTTTTATCTCCGTATTCTTTACTTATAACTTTATACTTATGACTTTTTACTACCGTATCATTCTAGATCTTTGCTTTGTTTCGTTTCGCGTCTGTAGCCGCCGATTATTTCTCCTAATCTTCTCAATTCGTATATTAACCAGATGAATTTAAGGGGGAAATCTAAGCTACGACTGCATATTACACGGTGTGTCTGTATTTTAACGAACGGACGTTACATACGTGACCTAGGCGACTTTCAGAGTAAATGGCCCGAACAATCAATGGGGCGACGCGAAGCGCAGTTTGCGCCACGTGCTCCCACATCACAATTAGAGCACTGTTTAGGGTCGCGTACCATTGTTTCCGTAAATACTACCGCCGATCGAGCGATCGGGGCACAAAAGGAATACGTTGGACAAAGGCGAGTATCGGACTTGAGGCCATTACCGACGCGGGCGGACCCCTGCGGGACATCGAACGGCGCGGTATTTCGATATACGTTCCGAAACTCACGTGGGCACAAACGATCGCGAGTAACCAATATTTTTTTCAATTTAACCTTTACTGAATGAAATTCAACGATTTTTCATCGAATATATCATACATTTAACACCTTATATAAATGGCTGGAATATTGACGAGATTTTATTATATAAAAATAAACGCGAGCTCGATTTTCATTGTTCTAAAAACCAAATTTATTTAAAAATAAAAACGCATTGGTATATAATATCGATATACAAAATTAAATGTTATAATTCAAGAATTTAATAACACTAATATTTAAAAAATTAAAAATATTTCAATGAGTGACAAGATATACTTGGAAAAGTAACGAAATCAAGTATCATTTGCCAGAAAATTTTCTAAATTGTTATTACCGTTCCTAAAGAAATAATAATTAACAAAAATAACAATGCACAAAAAGATATGACCGTTTTCCCTTACCAACTCTATTATGACTTCAATAATAATCTTTTATAAATAATCTCGAACTTTTACATCAAATCAGAAAATTAAATAATTATGCATCGAAGAGGATTTGAACATTTTGAAATATAATTGATCACATATTTTCACACATGTGAAAATTGTATTTCTCCTAATTTCATCACCGATTCGTGTGTGTCCTCGATTCGAAGGCACTTGTCAGATCAAACATATGAACTTTGGGGCATCGAGTCACCTTTGCTTTAACGAGTCAACAAAGAGAGCTAAATGTGACTCACCTCTATGCGGAGGTGCGGGATGAAGAGGAGACGCGTTGACGACGGCCATCAGAGTCCAGACGGGTAGGAACAACAGCACAAAGAAAATCGGACACGTCGTGATGGACCATTGACTCCTGCCCCCCACTATCGCGGCAGCCACGGAGCGCATCGCGGGCCCGCGGGCCCCGTAGTGGTGCCCCGCACGGCCCTCTGCCTCCCCTTCCTCTTCCTCGTCCTCCTCCTCCTCCTCCTCCTCCTCCCCTTCTTCGCCCACGGCCAGGGCCGCAACACGCATGGGCCCGATGTTCCGTGCCCCGGCAATGACTAATGGCGCTATCTGCCTTTTGTCGAGGAGTCGACCACCGCAGCACTTTGCCAGTCACCTACCAAGATCATTTCTCCGTCCTTCTTCTCCGGTCGTTCTCCCCCTCCTCCTCCTCCTTCCCCTCCTGCCCTCCTGCCGGCGCCCCTTTCTCTCCGCCACCTCCTCCTCGTCTTGGTCCGTAGGTCGCTCAACCTTTCGACCCCTCTGCCGTCTCCACCACCACCGCGCCTCCTCTTCGCTTTCAGCCTTCCTCTTTTTTTCTTCTTCTCTTTTTCAGCCGGTTCCACCTCGCTTTACCTTCGACGGCGGATCGACTCCTCCTCGTCGTCGTCCTCTTTCCTCTTCGACGTTCACCACCTCCGAGCGCCGCTCTCCGGACGTCGATCGATCCTGTTGACAAGAATGTATAAAATTGGTCACGAGTGCCAAGAATACGCAATATTATTTCATTCTGGATGAAATCAGAGAGACTGAGTTAAATTAAAGCGCCGCTCTCTCGCGACCGCGAAACTTGCCACGCTGCGAAATTACGCGCTCGTTTTCATGTACAAGAAAGTAATAGGGGGTGGCCGAGTGTTTATCTCGTAAAAGTAAACTTGTAAACCTTAAAAGTTTAAGTCGGGCAGCGTGGGCAAGAGGGGGTCTGAGATAGAGTATCGTCGACTCGGCAATTGCGGCTGGAGAATTGTTCGCGCGAGTACGGTCTCGTATAATGTGGCACGTTAATGGTATACATACGTATATGCAGTATGCAATAGGGACTGCAGGACGAGGAGATTGCACAAACAACTCTCTTTACGTGACAATAAATAAGAATATTTAAACATAACCCGGAAATAATAGCTTAATAATTTAGCATCCAAGAAGCGACAGTTCTGACGTATTTAGTGTTCACGAGATATAAAAATTTAATATCGGAAAAAATAACTTGTATGAACACGATTTTTTTCAACACGAGATTTTATATGAGTTACTTACTAATTTATTTGTTGAATAGTTCAATAGTGAATAGTTCGATTACTTATGGTTATTTCGGAGTATAAGAATCTAATCTTATTTTCCAATGTTATCGAAAAGCTGGAAATTCGATACATATAACAATACAGAGATTAATGGGCAGCGACGATAAAAAAAAGTGCTCGTGAAATACATCAGTTTGGTAGCGCGCAAACAGTTTGCATTTTTCATGGAAAAAGTTCTGAAACATGCAAATGAAACGCGCGACTAACACGACAGTGACTTTCGTATTGCTAATACTCGACGTACGAAACTGCTTTACTTCTCTGGAAATTGTGACTTTACCGGTACGAATATAGTACAATTAGTAACAGACACTACGGTATCTACAGGATGCTTAAAAAGGACATTAACACTTATATGGAAGTAACTTTTTTTTTAAGAAACAAAACTGATAACACAAGATATCATAGTAACAGTAACAGATGTATTTTGTCTTCAAAGAGTCTCTAAAGAGTTTTGTTCACCATCATTGTCTACACATTCTTGGAATCTTTTCCAGATGGTCTCCAGTCTCCAGAGCCCTGAGGCACATTTCTTTGGGTATTGTTGCTATCACATTTGCAATTTTCTGTCGGAAATCTTGCACATTGCAACGGTGATCGGAGTGGAGACTCTTTGAGGACAGGAAACATTTGTTATTTTCTTGTGTTATTAGTTCCATTTCTCTAAAAATGTTACTTCCATATAAGTGTTAACATTAGCTAACATTATTTTAAAGCACCCTGTACATCTCTATTTGACGTTATCCTTTACGTTCCGAGACACAGATCACGAAAAAATATGCATTTCATGAGTTGAATAATAATAATGTCCAAAGCAAGACAAACTCAGAATACTGTATTTTGTAAAAATATCATAAAGTATACAGAGGTAATTTGAAAACTAGTACATTGGAGGAAATAACAAATCAAAAATTCAATATAATAGAATTATATAACTGCTATTTGTTCCATTTTCGATCTATTATGTTAATTCGATTTTCGTAATGCAGTAAGTGCAAAGAAAGGACAAAAAAGAAACGAGTTCGCGTAGATCCGTTCGCCTCCGCACGACGTTTCCGCGTTTCGCGAAAAAACAAAATGAAATGATGGGCGGAATGCATTCTCAGGAAAGAACGACATGTGTGTACGTATAAACTAAATATATACAAACTTTACCATATCCCGACCTGGCGTGCCGTGGCAACGTCAAGAAACGCACGCTCTAATGGGTAAATAAAAGTGCATGCATCGCGACGGCGGGCGTCGCGTCGACGCGCAAGCTCGACATCACCCGGGCGATAATACGTTTTTCCACGATGACGCGACGCATAATCCGCGAATAAATCATGCTTAAGCTTGTGAGCAATGAACAACGAATACCACCAGTGCGGTTCGCGCGGGACTTTATCTCCAAGCGTGACGAAGAGAGAAACCGAACAATAAGATTTAAAATTAATTATTCCAAATTATATTGTAATAAAAATACTAACAAAATGCGGTGGAAATAGTAAATATAACAAAAGGCTGGAGAAAGTTGTGTCTTATTTTCTTAATATAACGCTATACCGTCTATAAAATAATTATGAAGATTAACAAGAAAGGGCTATGACTGAACTCGAGAAAAGTTGCGAGCAAATTTACATAAACTTCAAAATGTCAACGTTCTATCGATGACTTCGTTCAAACGTTATTTTAACCCGTTTCGTCAAACCCGAGTTCCAATAAGTACAGCAGAGACTTTGTCAAACATGGGATCCTGATCTTGTTCATCTTCTCGCTCGTCGTACGTTCTCGTTTCTCGAGATACGATGTAAAGTTCACAATTAGGTAGGTAGGACGCGATATTTCAAGGAACTCTAAAGTTCGTTGCCGAAATAAATTACATGGGGCGCTGCTGCGGAGCACTGCGGTCGGATACACTTTCCCGGTACACTGTGTAGAGGAGGTCCCTGAGCGGGATAGACGCATTACATTCCGAAAATGGAATGTCGACGCGATGTTCGTACGAGGAGGAGCTTTATCGCGCCTCGTCCGTGCAGGCGGAAGAATGACCTGGCGCGGCGAAAGCCATTACTCGCATTTCGCAAGTCCTGGCACGGCGAAACGAATCGGCGAATTTACACGATTCGCATTTGACGATCATTTCGCGACGAGTCACCCCCAAAATTTTTCTCTCGACTATCATTGATAAATGAGAGAGAAAGAGCGAGAATACGATATTATTTTTATAATAAAAATTGTAAAGACGCAGACATGTGTACGCTTCTTTAAAGATAATAATAAACTTTCTAAGTTTTTTATTTAAAAATGCGGTATACTGATAATAAATATAATTGTATTTTATAATAAATGTATTAGTAACAATAATACAATAAATACTAATATATAATAGTAGGAAGTGACATTTACTTTTATGACACTGAGAAAAAAAATTTATTAATCCCAAAAAATATTTAGTCCAATACGTTCAACTAAACATTTTAGTTAGTTAACTAAATATTAGTTGAATTAATTAATTCTTGATTAAAGAAACTAAATAAATTATTGAAACAACCAATGTTTAGTTAACTAACTAAATTGTTTAGTTGAACGTATCGGACTAAATATTTTTTTGGATTAACAATTTTTTTCTCAGTGGAGGTATATTAGTATAAGAATGTTAATGAATATAGCTTACTCAAAATCTACTAATTAAAGTTCATATTTCAATAAGTGATATTTATTTATTTAAGTATTAATATATAAAAATGTAATACACTCACAATGCACTAATTTATCTGCCGCAGCTATTAGCAAAGTTCATATTTCAATTGGCGCAGCCAATTTCTATTTCATCTCTAAATGCGGATGATTACCTCTGTAAAAGGAGACCTTTCGTTTTTATCTTGCGAGGTTTTTTTTTTTTTCATCGAACGAGAACTCCAATGAATTCGCCTTGAAGAAAACCCGTTCCTCCGATGCATTCACTTCGAATGATTCATTCGCGTGGGCACGGACGGAACCAGATATTTTTCTCAAGAGAATAGAGAATAGATGAATCTTAATAGCATACAAAACTCGGAGTTTTCTCATAAGCCACGGCCACCACAATGGAATATGGAACATCCGACCTCGACACCTCGCGTGGCGTCAAACACGAGCGCGCATCTCTCGGCTTATCATCTATTAATACCACGCCGACGCTCCGTCTATCTATTATATATCAGGATCCGACTGGGATCAGTGGGGATCTCTCGTCGTCGTGAATACGTCACCGAAATTCCACCGTGATAGTCCGGGAATATCGATAGACGAGGAACCGACATCGGAGAGGATTAGCGTGTCGTAAGCGTCCGTTCGCGTTCGCCGGCAGAACACGATCGGACAATTTTCCGTCGAGCGCGCCTCGCTGAACCGTTACCTCGCAACGCGCGCGCCGGCGAAAACACGTTTTGCGTAATGTCCAAGCGAAAGAGACGGAAAACCCGGACGAATAGAATAATTACGAAGGAGCCGCGCCACGCCGTCCGACGACGATCGAACCTTCTTTTCCGAAGAACCGCGATGAATTTTACGCCGTCTTGAAATTCGATCGCCCACAAACGTACACTATTGCACCGTTAGATCTCCGACAAAATATTCGAAATCTACTTTTTACCCTGAATAAAATCAAGGCGACTTAATTAATGTAAGAAAGCAAAATTATAGTATCTAAAAAGCAAATTTTTTATCGCAACGTGTAGTTTCCAAGAAACAAAATATCAATATTTAACTACAGAGTGAATAATATTATTTACTGCAGTTTATGTGCATTGACTTCCAACTGAATCAGTTTCAAAACCTTCATTGATCTCTCTCGCTCTATGGATACTTTCTATAATTATCAATCAACAATAGCCAGGGGGGAAGGGAGAACACGTTATAATTCTACCTTCCAGCGGATCTCTTCCATTCGAGATAAGTACCATTATGGAACCTTTTTCACTGTGCTTGTCGCTAATTGTTCTGAATTTATGTGAATATCTATTCAGTTCGAGATACGTAATTTTAATGGTATGTTGCAGGCACGCAAAAATGGTTCCAGCAATGGCAATGTCCTTGTAATTTTCAAAAATTAATCTATATAAATGTCCGTATAAAAATCTGAAAAATTCGAAAACGCAAAACCACGCCTGAAATCATCTATAATATTCTCGTTGTCGTGTTTTATGCAGCTTTATTGGAATTTTCGTGGTTAATCTTAAGGAAAAAAGTTTTTTGTTTTTAAGTTTATGAAATTTCTGTGGCAACGTTATACTTATACTAGAAACACTTGTGAATTAGACAACGCGTTAACGTCCATTACGTTGTCTATAAAAAAACGCTCATTATATCGTTAAGAGTGATTTTACTACGTATAATTCATTAATTCCTTTAATATTTTATACTATATCCTCTCATGTATTTTTCTTCAGGCTAAGACCTTTAACGACTACGAACTACGAACTATATGTATAACATTCGGTATATATTTCAGAAATCTTTTCCGGAGCAAGTATATCAAGCTATCCAAATAACAGGATTGAGGTTCATAATGGTATTCGCGTTTGTGCGCTGCGCGATCCATCGAGATTTCAGCATGTATTATGAATTTCTACCCCAGTTTCACATTTAGTTGGAGACTCCAAAGTCAGAAATTCAAAACAATCGTGCATTCTGCACCGCGTCTAATTACTTACAACCGAAAGGTCTGGCGCGAAAGAGAAAGGTCAATCTTCGTGTTAAACCGCATCGAATTATATGCCCGGGGCACGGGGCATGCAAAATTGACACTCAAAACACGCGGCTCTGTATTAACCGGCGGACAGAGAAGCGTTTTAAAACGCTAATTGTCATTTCTCGCTCCCGATAGTCCCGATACGCGCGTCATAATTCCCGAACGCTTTCAAAAATCCAATCGCTATTAAGTTTCAAACACCATTTAATTCCCGCGGCTGCGTTTTATTTTAATCCTCGGCAGATCCCCGGAATAATAATGTCCCGTAACCCGTTGTTATATCTGACGGATACACACGGCGATTAACTATTCCCGCTTTTCCCCTATTATCTCTAACAATAAATGTATAGCATCGCGGTGCGACGAGTGCCTTTCTCGATGGCTTTTTGGCATAACATAATAAAACACTCCGCGTTTCCCGAAGAGCACGGGAATTTTGAACGTCGACGGCACGTGTCTGGGCTTTCCCCTTTGGCCTTCTCGCGATCGTGCTTTACTCAAGAGCCTTGACGAGCTGTTATACGTTATACCAATTTCTGTCGCAAATATTTCCCGACGTTTAGCGCGTTCTCTCCAGAACGCCGACCCAAAGGCGAGGCGGAACTAGCTCGTCCCTCGCCGTCGCGAGTCCTTTAAAAGGCGCGGGTAATTTATGCAAATTGTTTGGCATAAAAACGACGTGTCCAAATAGCACGGGCCAGGCGCGCGAAGGATCTTTGACGGTTTTTTAATTATCTAAGCTCCCCCCGAAGATGCTTTTATCATAGTACATCTAAAAGACCCATCATCACGGAGACTTTGGAAAAGAACACAAAAAGGTGAAGCAAACGGCGTCCCTTGCAATTAACTTTTCACTCACACCAATACAAAACATTTGAGTTATAACATATAATAATAATTAATAATACTTTAACAATTTCGATAATTTAAGTACGTGGTTAAATATTTTGTATAATTCATCTGTTTCTTAAGATATTTCCTAAGATTCTATCCACTGAAAACAAAATACTTAGATCCAAGAAAATATTTTGTCACATAGTACCAATGGCTTATTTACTTAATATAATCACATATTTATTTAGAATTAGATATTTTTACTTAATTTTACTTTTTACTTTACTTCTTTTTTACTTAATTCTAAATAATTATGTGATTATATTAAGTAAATAAGCCACTGATACATGTGAAAAAATATTTTCTTGGATCTAAGTATTTTTTTTTCAGTGTACCAGACATTTTTAATTTGTCGTATATACTGTTAAAGGATATTAAAGGATAAAATTTAAACCAATATCTTGAGTTGAATAATATTTTGTTATTTTTAACTACCATGTGTGTTGAAATTTATTTCAACACGAAACAGTATCATTTTAACTGCATTAATTTAGTTAAATTGAGTTTTAGTTAAATTGATAGTTTTAGTTAATCTAACGAAATATTGGATAGGAACAGTCGCGATTTATAGAAATGATTAAAAACGACTCGAATTGAGTATAATTGACACTACGAATTTAACGGTGTAAGTTACTTTAAATTAAAAAATAGCTTTACCTTCCTTCTGTTACAATCACTTTTGAAATTAATAATAACTCTGTAGTCTGTAATAAAAACGTCCGTGACCGATTAACGACCAAAAGATCGCGAGATTTATATTTGATCCTGCATACAGGTCATTATAATTATAATCATTCGCGTAATTCCATTGTCACGTAACAATATCCCATCGCGGAGTTTGAACGCTATTTTATACAACAGCTATTTTATGCAAAGCGCGATTATCTTCTCGTTCCCCCTTTTCGGTATAATACAAAGTCACGTTATCTGTTCAATTCTCCTTACTTCGTTCAAATTGTTACACAGGTGTCGGAAATTACGGTTGCGCGCCGATCCGATGGGAGTCGGCTTGTCACGACAAGTCACAACCAGATTCGTCACGTCGAACGCGCGTCGGGGACGCGCGCGCGGCCAACTTCACGCAGCTCGCTTCCACTCGCAGCTCGCTTCGCGAGAGACCCGGCGCGGCGAGGGGCCCGCTAATCACGTTCCTTTCATTCTGATCGGAGCGCAATGTGAGGGGACGGCGCACGAGCGCTCGAATGTGACGAAACACCGGGGATTCGCAACGTAAACACGCACAAACGTGCGAGATGCCCATTGCCCCGTCGTATTGCCGCGTATCCTTTCAACGGCGCGACGGCGACGGCCCGCGCCGACGAAAATGGCGGTTATTTCGTTTTGCGATCCGCGATCGCAAAACGGATTCGCGGATTCCATTTCAAGATCGAGCGGCACGAGTAGCGGTGTGTTTAGTTTACCTGTCAATTGTCAACTCCGGCGGAAAATGGAAGTGGAATCTGACTCGGCGCGCGCGACGCGTTCGACGTGCGGAAATTCAAATTTGTGTCTCGCGGAAAATGGCGCCACCTCCCTTCGAATTCTCGGCCCGTGGACGCGAGCGCGAGATTCGCTACTCCGACCGCTCCGAAATTCGTCGGAGCCGGAGGACACGCGGCACACCACCGGGATGGAAACATCGTCCCGAGTCCCGACGCGTAGACAGCGGGGGGAGTCAGGGGAGAGCAGCGCGCCTGTCCGGCTCGACGCGGCCGCGGCGCGTCCTACGTCCTACACACTCACCGAGGCGCAGCTCGTCGTTGCTCCGCTCGTCCTGGTGCCGCTAGCTCGCCCCCGTGGGGGATACCGGCCGCCCGACGACGCGCACCTGCACCCGAGGAGGAAGTCGGCTCCGCGTGTCATCGGCGCTCATCGCCGCGTGACGACGCCGTCGCCGCCCGCGTAGACGCCGGGCATCCGGAATACATGCACGCACAGGCACGCGCGCGCACACACACTCGCTCACACACGCACACACTCGCGGGCGCGCGCGCACACACACGTGCCGGAGAAGAGAGAGAGTGGGTCCTTCCGACGACGACGACGGCGTCGCTTCTCGATCCCGGCGGCTTCGCGACAGCCGGAGCACGCCGACGGCGACGTCCGCGAAACGCGAAAACGGCAGATAGCACGCGCGAGCGCGAGCGCGCACACATACACGCGCGAGAGCGAACGAGCGCCCGACAAGTAGTAGGACCGAACGGAGAGCGCGTTCCGCAACGCACTGGCGTCACTGGCGATGGCGAGACCGCTCGCGGACGAAGACTCCCGACTTCCCGAGGCCAACGACTCCCCCCACCAATCGCGCGCGTTCGACCCAGCTATATATCCCCTCTCGCGCCCAATCCCGCGCGACCTTCCCCCTCTTTCTTTGCCCCCCCCCTTTCTCGCTCTTTTTCCTTCTCTCTTCTTTCTTTCTAACGGCGTGCTCCGAAACGTATTTATTATTGTTAATGTGTTGAAGATAATTAAAGCCGGGCCTCTCTCGGCGTTCCGCTCCGATCGCGGGCGATTAAATTACACGCGACGCTTAAATATATTTTTATTACGCACTCCGTGGAACAGACGTACCTCCTTTTCTGTCCTCTCTATTCTCCCAAGTCGCTTCCCAGTTCCCATCACGACGCGGAACGGACTTATTCAACCCCCTCGCATTCTCCCCCGCCCTTCCCGCCGCTCTATCTCGCGCCGTCTCGCGGCGAACGCGCATCGCCCACCCTATATCGCCCCGCTCGGTCTCTCTCCTCCGTTCCGTGCCTCCAGCCTCCAGCCTCCAGCCTCCGGCGTGCGAGTGCAAGAGGAGGAAGATCGGAGCGCGGGCAGGACGAGAGACGCGAGCGCGCGAGCGCTAACATGTCGTCCTTCCGCGAACTTTCTCCTCCTCGCGCGGCCCCCTTACGCCGATATTCCGTTCCTCTCTCGCTCAATTCCTGCCTCTCTTTCCCTTCTACCCCATAAGATCTACATCTATTTTGAACCGCTGCCGTACCCCTGTTCCTCCCGCCCGTCGCGCTATATATTTTCGTATCTGTCGTTCGGTATATTGCTTCTACCCTCGTGCAACCGAAACGCGCCGGAGAGTGCACGCGTATACCTACCCTTCTTACGGGAGGAACGATTTATCAATGAAACAAAAGGAAACGTCGCGAAGGCGACGAGGACGGGGTGACAAAAGGGCGGCGGCGGTGTAGCGTTGAAGGGACAGAGAAGGAGAGAGAACGGTCGGGATCCTTTCCTCTCGCCTTCGTCCCCCGCTCGCCGGTCGCCGGTCGCCGGTCGCCGGTCGCGTCGACGGCGCGAAACCATTACCCCGGGAATGTTGCGCCGTGGATTAGTTTGATTATCGACATGCGGCCGCGCCGAGGCCGCGAGCAATTTAATTATGGAAACGGTATGCTGCAAAGGACGAGCCCGCGATATCCAATTAGTTTCCACGGGCCGCTGCGAGTCCGCTGCAACGCTCTTAACGATTGCTTAACCCTCCCGAGAGGAACGCTAACTGTTCGTAAACTATCGAGCGCGGACGCCACGCCGCTGACTGCCGCGACGATCGCGTTTGTTTATAGTTTACGAAGTAGCGGAGTAGCACGGGGATTGCATTTTTTATGAGAGATCGACGCAGATTTGTATAGCCGTTTGCGTTTAGCTATTAATCGCGAGACGAGACGCGACCGTTTGTATACAAGAGCGTGATAATTGGAGAAAGAAATTAAACTTCAACGTGGAATTAAATTTCCATGTCCGAGTAAAGATCGAGCCGAGGCGCGAATCTGATTATCAATTTTATTTTAGGATTCAGCCGAGCAGATATTTAAGTTAAGGCGATGATTAGAGATACACTCGATTATACGAAAATACCGGTGCGGATCGAGACGAAAGCGAGAGAGCGTTCTCGAGTTGAAGCGCGAGATTCTTTTACGCGCGACGTAATCGTCCGATATACAATTTTCGCTCGAGTCGCGCGCCATTAATTCGCAATCGTTGTCGCGCGCGACAAGCGAGAAGCCAATAATTATTCCTTGCCGCGTGGCGAGCTTCTCTCGCGTTTCTTTTGACGTCACGGAGACGTAAACGCGAGTTATAACGCGTCGAGAGTCGCGTCGAGTCATTCCTGGGGATGCGAAAAAATTGTTTCGTCTCCGGGAGACGGCGAGAAGAGAGTAATCGTCGGGTGCCTCGTAAAAAGGCGCCGAGATTGATGGCCGAGGGCCTTTTTAACGAAGCGCGGAGGCGAGGAACGTTAATCAATAGCCACCGGCGGGCACCCGGCATCCCCTCCCTCCCCTCTCTTCCCGCCAGCATATTCGAAATAAATTCTAATACGGCCGCCCGCGGAAGGGAGACGATTACCGCATCATTGTTCCGTTCAGCTATTCTTTTCGCCATACGCTGCCGCTGCGGCTCTCTAATTTTCCTTTTTTTCTCCTCTTTTTTTTTCGCCACCGTCCGATAGCGGCCCGATCGCATTAGTCGCAATTAGCGCGGAATTTATTCCCCGAAAAGTTATGCTAACGCCCCATTTGATTAATCGCTCTTTCCCGACCCCTTATCACCTGGGCGAATTTGTTATAGGAATATTCGTTAACGAGCGAATAGATAATTACTAATTAATATTGTATATATGCTTTCGTCTATCGCGTTTCATCGGAGAATTATAAAAATTTGATTGCTCGGGATTGCGACTATTGCAGAGATAAATGTTATCGTTTCTGCAATTGAACGCGTTACGAAATCCCGTTTTGTCACGTAATCGAAAGAAATGAAAAATAAATTTTATGAATTGCATCTCATGAATTTTATCGAAAATGGAATTTAGAATTTAATAACTCTATAATTTTACATAAGTACGTGTGAAACATGGAAAGGGACCGAAAATCTAAACCTAAATTATTATAGATCTAAATTCTAGATCGTCTAATTATAGAGGTCGGGTTTTGCCAGACTTCCCTGGTAGATATGTCATTTTGACGTCTTTTGACGTCAATTGACGTCAAAATGACATGTGATTCCTACCTTGGGTTCGTTTCGTCTTAATTTAATTCACAAACTCGCTGCAAAATCTTGAATAAGTCAACCCTTAACATCCAGCTTTTAAAATATTTCTCAGTAGACCGGTTTTGTATGATCGAAATTATGCTAAAGTTTTCTAAAAAATTGAAAACTCGACGTTGTGAGGATGCATCGCAAATAAAAACATGGATAATCGCGACACGAATAGACATCAACAATTGTGCGATATTAATTTTAGGATGTACAAAAGAAAAATCTTCGTGATTTAATTCGCGCGGCATTTAGCCTGGATCCCACCCTTTGGCTAAAATCTTTTCCCTTTTTCGAGGAGCCTTGAGCTCTCTATTCTCTCAGAAGCATCCGATTTGAATGTATCAGAATCGCTTCTGTCGCGAAAAAAAAATTTTTACGGAATTTCGTTAAAGAATCAGCGCATTCTAAAATTATATTTCGACGACAGGATGAGCAACAGGAACGTTGACCGATCAACCTTCCCTTCCGCAGACTCGACCAGGATCCCTAGTGTACCTTCCCGACGGACGATGTCGCTCTCTTACAAGAACAGGTGAGGTTACGTTCGCGTCGAACACCTGTTGTCAAAATCTGACGTCCCGAGGGAGAGACACGGGGATCCCCATAAATCTAATCGACCATGGTAATTTCGATACATATTGCAATTACGTCCAACAATTTCGCAATCCCCTTAGAACATCGTAAAGTTTCGATACTGGGACTCGAGCTACTTTCTTCGTGTCTCATACGCGACTCTGTTTGGCTTTTCCTTTTGCACAATCAATTTACCTAACATTGCATTCTGCTTTACTCTTTCCCGTTTCATCCGGTATGTAATTGTTGCAGGCGCGCTACTTCAGAGAAGAGGACATAGATGGTACGTTTTGCGAGATCCACCCTTGCTCGTCGTATGTCCGAAATAAAATCGAACAAGCGGTCTGAAATGGATTGTTTTTGCAGAGTTCCGAGAGTGTTTCTACCTGTTCGCTCGAAGCGGCCAGATTCGCACGCTTGACGAGCTCACTATAATTATGAGGTCCCTGGGATTGAGCCCGACGATTGCGGAATTGAACAAGTACATGAAGGACAAAGGTAATGTCTCACGATGTCCAGCTTTCACCGGGGAAACCTTTTACGGAGAGAACGGAAATCATTCGTGTTGATTCCAGGTGGAAAGATGTCCTTTGCCGATTTCTTGGAAGTCATGCACCTTCAGACTCGCGCGGAGGACCTGCCGAAAGAAGTGATCAAAGCTTTTCAAGCTGCGGACACCTCTCACAGTGGCACTATACCAGCACGACAGTTGGCGCATATGTTGCTTCACTGGGGAGAGCAATTGAGTAGCAAAGAAGGTAAAGTGAATGAATAATTTAATCGTAGCTTTTACGTTTGGCAATACTGTCCTTTGTTGCAGTGGAGCAAATCTTCCGCGAAGCCAACGTGTCTTTAAACGGACATGTGAAATACGAAGATTTTGTAAAAATTGCGTGTGCACCTGTACCTGATTATTATTAATAATTAAGCGATTTTCATATTTATATACCACGGTCCACGATTTTACGCTTCTATATATTCCTACGAAAGGCGCGAAAGAGAAAAATACTTTTACATAAATAAGAAAAGATCAGTTTAAGCTTTAAAAGGAGTTTTATAACTCAAAAATATGGTTGCGGGACTTCTGGTTATCGGATAAATAAAGTCTATTTCATTATTTATTCCCATTATATCTTAAATTATACTTTCAATCCTGTTTAAGTACATTTTAATTTTGACGATACATTTATTATTTCATTACGATAACGAATTCTCATTCATAAGGAACGCTCTCTCATTTTTTCTAAATCTATATTATTATTTTATGTCGATAAACACATTTAGAGCAATGATGAGCTTTTATGGGTTTACTCTGTCACTAAATTTATACATTCTGTGACAAACTTCGATACATATATTTACAGTTTCGGCTACTTCGAAATTATTCTCGAATTGCTCGTTCGATATAAAAAAGAAAACGTTGAGAGAGCAGAGGCGAATTTAAGTTTTAATTCGAATTATGTAGGGTTACGTGAGTTACGCACACTCTCAAAAGGCCAAATTGGCCTGGCCAATTTCAAATTTAGAAAGAAAAAAATTTGTTGCCGGGATTAATATACACAGCAGTTTCTTTACATTCCTTAAAGTCATCCTTGATCGAGAAATACACACTTCGTTTTCTAAACACGTTACATCTATCTAAAACTAAAATTACACATCTTTACGTTTATCCTGTGCAAGAAATATGCGAATGAAAAGAAATCTGATTTGTATCAAAATGATTTTTCTTTCTTTCTTTTCAACGATACCAGCAAATGGAAATAGAAGTTTCTATTAATTTCTCAAAATTTACTTATTTTTTGCACGAGTTAACACATATCTCATTATAAAATAAGTAACGACGAATATTTGTTTATTCTTCGCATCGACGAGTCAGCTAAATTTAATTTTCTTCGGTACACGGAACAAAATTAACTGGATTGAAAACCATCGATGATCCTCGAAAGACGTTCGCCGACCATCGAACGATTAGTCGAACCGGTAGTCCAAGGATTACTAATCTTTGGGTATATCCGGGGTCGGGGGCGAGCCGCATAAAATCACCGCTGTGCTGACAATCGTCGTAAGTAAGAAAACGCACAACAGGGCACGATCACTGACCAAAGCGACCTGTTTCCAATCTAACTCTGTCCTTTCCCGGCGATCCTGCTCGATTAGGCGCCGCTCGTTCCTCTCGATGGTCGCGTGCACTCTTCCCAGGACCCGGGACCAATGCGCCTCAAGGCCGCCCTCCTTGCTGAGATCTGTGCGATTGTTCGACACGATTCATAATTCATCGCACGGCACGAATTAGTTGGCTAAAGAAACTAGACCAGACCAAACTGGAAATACTACCGCAGGATAATCGCAACGAAAGGATATGTTCAAAACAAAAAGTACGAATGCGAATGAAAGTAGACATTTCTCACAATCAAGTATTATTACACATCGCGCAAAAGCGATACGATTTTTTAATGAAAACATTTCAGCTTTCGCGAAAAGTTTGTGATTTTTCGAGTTACGTGAAATTTCGAGTATAAATTTGTAAAAACGTAGAAAATTAAAAAATAATAATTGTATAATATACAAACACTAAGGGTAATAAATACATTCAAAGGTGAATAATACAAATGCTTCTTCGAGATTGGCGATGTAAAAATGTGCAACACTGAATGTTAAAGAAACAAAAATTACGAGAATTAAGGATGCGGAGTGACTTCATAATTTTTAATAAGTAAATAACATATCAAATTCAATTAATATGTCTTACAGACTCACCTAGACTGGGACTAGAGCTGTTACTATCGTCTTTTCTCGATACATATTTGGGGGATACGTGCTGCTCCGGCAGTTCGGGCTTGCAGTGCAGCGGACAGTTGTTCTTCCTTCTCGAGAATTGTTCCGCCGGCTCCTGCTGATATAACAAATCACTGTGATCCTATATTGATGATCGCGCCGTAACTTTTCTATAGAACGAAGTAATAGCGGGCGCGCGTTTAGAAATTGTATCAACCGCGAAACTTTCTCTCGGCGAAGCGCAATACGGGATCGGCCACAGACGTCCGTGCGTCTGTCCCTCAATCTATATTTATCGTAATTATTTCATTAATAATTAATATCTATTTCATATACATTTCTTCACATTGTTCACAATTCACATTGTTCTCTTTTTCTTATAAACTTCTTATATTTATTTTCGAATCGATTTGTATCTCTTCTGGTTCTTTCATATCATATCCATTGTTTTATTCCTCCCGCACAATATTGAAGATAATTATCTTACCGTTACATCGTTACATCTTTTCACTTACGTATGCTGAAACGAACGTCTGAGGCTGATCCTGTTTACCCTATCTGCCGGAAGCTGCACGACTCTCAGAATTATTATCTAACTGATCTGATTCTGAGAAACGCGCGCACAATGGTGTATTGGCCCAATTTTATTATATTCAAATAGGTTTTAAGAGGCCGGATGGCGATTTGCAAGATGCCCCGCGTATTACAAGATACAATATGCATGTGCATTACGTGCATCCGTTTTACCGATCTATTCTCCTCTTGGAAATTCAGAAATACTATCCTGGCTAATTTGTCTAAGACCAGCGATCTCACGATACTCGGTACACGTATGCCCCGCACACCACGGTGATGCAAATTCAATGTCACGACCGCCAGACCGGATGCGAACGACACCAGGCAAATGCTGACGCCATAGTAAAGACCTGAAAGCACCGAAGGGACATAGATATACAGATATGGGAATAGATAATTGAATTTTTATCTCTCTTCAGTAACTTTTCGAAAGATGCAAAATAATTTGAGTGATTTATATACAATATTTGTCTCTCTTAAAATGTGTCGGACAGAACTGAAAGAATCGGTGAAATAGGAAAAAATAATGTTGTTTTTATTATTCGAAGAAATTTACTGATTGTGACTATTGTGAGTATAAATATGGTGCGCTTTCTATAATTTGTCAAAGAAATTGTTTGTCATATTTTCTCGCACAAGCGATATCTAACCATTAAACGAAATTCTTTCTCCACTTAGATAACGATTCTGTAACAGCTTTTGTTCGCTTTTCTCGCTGTTATTTGAGTACACTCCTTAGGAATCCCCCTTTGAAGACTACATTAGCCAGAAATGAGACGGTGTTCAGTTTTGCGGAGACGGCTAGCCGCGTTTCAAGAAAGTCCCAGGTGCATTTTCTCGCGGGTTTTTTAATGAGTAATGAACAGCTCGAACTAAAATCGCGATAATACTCTTTGTCGAACGATTTAAAATTAATATAATCGGACGACTTGGAGATTCGAAATTATAATTCTAAAGAGATATTTGCGATAATTTAACTTTAACATAATAATAGAATAAGAAGGATTGGCGGATCGTGACATTTTGAAAATATTTTGAGTGTGTAAAGAATATTCTCCAAGTTCGAATTGAAGATCCGACCGGAAACGACCAACGATGTACTCACTTATCAGCGGTGTCTTCTCCGTGGGCGGCAAAGTTTCGCGAATGGTCATCAAGAACACCGTCATGGAGAGAAGGGCCGAGATGCCGAGGGTGACTTTCTCCCCGGACTCGGAGGGCACGTAGAACACCAGCAGGGCTGGAGAGCAAACAGGAGCAGCGTCCGCGAAAGTTTTATCCTTACCGCGAAATATTGAATCCGAGGTATTCCGCGAGACTTCGATTCGAAGTCTCGTGACAAACTTGAAAGTTTGTAGTAATCGAAAATGGAACAAGAGCTGCGGGAAGGGCGACAAAAGAAAGTGCGAGGACAGTCTTAGGTTTGCTTTTCTTTCAGAACTTATTCCATAAATTTAAATTTCCTTAAGTTTTCCGTATTTTTCGTTCACGCAAACGTGCATAACGAGTTAATATCTAAATTCTTTATTGATTTAATAATAATTTCATATTTTATTTTATACTAGATTTTTCGCCCGCGCGAAATATAGAATACCGGTTGCCCGCAATTTCTGTTTGAGTTTCAGTTTTGCGAGAAATATCAATAAATAAATAATGCGATAGAAATGCAATTTTAATTTTATCTAGTTTTTGTCGTGCTATTGTCATGTAAAATTCACGAATTCTCGACCAAATGAAACCACGCAAAGATCTCCCGATAATTCATACATGTCATTTTTTTTACTGTTCTACAATAACTGGTCCACGATAACCATCAATTTTATCATCGGAAAGCCATAGCGTTGTCCCATTTGTCCGACAGTTTCGATTGCCCCACTGGGTCTTATATTCTGTTGTTTCAATATTTGCCTTTTTATCTATCTATTTCCATGTATCTTGTACATTGATTTTCTTTATTACGTTAACTTTAGTCTCTTAATTTTTGTTGTTAGTATCCTACTTTTTCACTCTTTCTGTTTATAAAAGCTCTTTCTTAAAAGAGATAAAGTCAATAAGCAATTGCTGTTCTACAAGTTGGCTCTAATATCCAGCAAATTCTCGGAAAATTTCTTTCATTATCGATAAATGGCAGCAGAAATGTAATGAAATGCTTCAGTTTATGCCGTCGTTTCCGCAATGACTTAATTTGTTTTCTCCTCCTCGTACAAATCCTAAGGCTGTTAGACTCAGTGGCCTATATATATTTATTATTTTTCAAATTCTCGTCTTCCCTCCCTCCGTCGCATAAAATTATATTGATATTTTTCTTTGATGACCGTTCTTTTTACACTTTTGCAAAAAATTAACGTACAAGGCAATTTTATAGTATTTTAGTAATTACGTTCTTTTTTGCTTGCTGCCTACGTTATAGTCGTTACGGTGTACATTTTTCTTTTTCTTAACTGCATTAGCACGGTGTTAGAATACATGTAGAATGATTATAGCGTAAGTATTTTAGATAACAGAAAGTTAAGAAAGAAAGTATAATTTCTTTTCTGAATTAAAAAATAAACTCGACAATTTTAAATTGACTTTAAGTTTATCAAGTAATTTGTTTCCAAAATGTTCTTCGATATGTTCCTATACTGAAATATATGATTTTATCAAAATTCCGAATCTCTTTCAACTTTCAAGCATGCATATAAAAAGCAATGATTGCCTTCCCTATCGAGCAATAGATCTTAACACGTAATTTGATTGCCCGCATAGTTATTAATAAAGACGCCGTTTTTTCCCCGGGATTAATGCGAAAACTATTATGCAAATTCATTAGATCGACATCTCGTGTTAGTAGGGACAATCTCAATTTTCTTATGCAAGCAGAGGTCGTGCAGGAGAGTGCGGAAAGATCGGAAGAGAGAACCTAATCTCGTATATAACTTCCCATGCGGTCTGCCGCTTCGTAGTCTCAAGGTTTATTTATGAAATTCGCTTCGTAGCTAACGGTAAGAACTGTTACTTCCTTCATTAATAAACGAGGTCCTCGAGAATTGCATCACGTTACCGCATATCATTAATTCGCAATCTGTGAAAGTTTACTTGCGAGATTTAAGGTGTCTTAAAAAGTTTCGTACGCGCTCTTTTTCTGTAAAATTAGATGCTCTACTAAAGAAAGCGGTATATAAATTATTTTAATTACTTTTCGCCGAACATGATGCGACGTACGTATTTCACAAAGATCGACATTTGAGCATGCCGTATTGTTTACCAAAAAACTCTCCGTATTTTTATACAGCTAGTAATAATGTAATTTATTAATTATCCTAATCCTTTAAAACATTTTTTTTTTCAATCTAAGATGAGATATAACGCCACTAATTATAATATTAGAATTTTCTTTCTCAATGAGATATTTTATTATAGAAGTTATAGTAACCCTACTTTGAATACATGCAAATACCGAAATGCAATTATTATGCTCTTTGATATACGAACGTTAGTCTATTGCTGGTCGCTAACTGATGGTATTCCACGCATTTGTGCGCTCCACTTACCGACGCCGTTGATTAGTATGCAGGGCAGAATCAGGTTGAAGACGTAGAACATCGGACGTCGTCGTAAGCGGATCTCGTAAGTGATGTCGGGGTACGGCTCCTCGCAGCAGGAGTAATACTCGACGTTTCGGCGAGCGGTGAAGTCCAGAAGATGGAACTCGCCGTTCGCCTGATAATTGCTCACGTCCCCCTGCTCGCTCTGGCTCTCCAGCTCGAGCTGATGCCCAGTAAAATTTCCTCGGTGTGAGTTACGCGCGACATATCGTGATGTCGCCGACGCGCGACGGCGTAAATTGTCGCTGTTTTGTCCGCGGCAGGCCGGCGAATTTGCAAGTAATAAAAATATATCAAGCGGGCGCGCAGTTTATTGAACAATACATCCTTTAACAGCTTTAACTAAACACGAGCGGAAACCAACAGACGAGGGTCGAATCAGTTTATCGACTAAAAGTTAAACTGGCAGCTGACAGGTCGAGTGTCTTTTTCACTGCGATTTAGATTGTTCTGTTTATCGCGTAATATAAACTCTGTTTTGTCGAGCTGCTACGTGCTTTATTAATAATGACAAATCAAGACATTTATTGCGGTAACGAATGAAAAGAATTAAAGCACGAAAATCGGATTTTAAATTGGAGTAGAATATTACACGAATCTCGAACAGACATTCTTAATTGAATTTTAATATATATAATCCTTGTGTCATTTTTTACTATAATTTTATCGTAGATCTCATAATAACTGGCTCTGTCGTTTATCAGTTTACTCGATCGACAATTCCTTGTTAATTTAAGCAAGAACTCGATCGACTTTTTTTTATTAAAGAGAAACCTTATCGAAGTTTTTGCTCGGGAAATTAATGATCAAGGCTGAAAATCCAGTCGCGCGGAACACGAGAAATGATTAATGCGCGAGGAACTTTGAAAGATTTTCCTGGACAAGTATTTTAAACCACGATGACGTCTTTTACACGACGAAAGGGTGAACGGCGGTGTAGCGACGGCGCGGGCGGCACGCAAAGTGTATTCAGCGCGGAGAGATAGAAAATGGGAAAACTCTCTCTCTGTGAAAGATAGGCAGGGTGCATGCTCTCAGCGCAGAGGCGAACCGAACGGCTCTCGTATTGAATTCTTCTCGCGATGCTGGGATTAAGCTCTTCGATCTGCCCGAACCATTTTCACGACTTGACGGGCCGGCGTTTTCGATTCTACCAGCTGTGTTAAGCGTCCCCGAACTTCCAAAAGGCCGATCGGCTTCGTTTCAACAACCGTACATTTCGTTTTTTTCTTTCGTTTATTTGCGTTGCACGCACAATTCGTCCTGCGTCGAGATATTTTTTGCTATGTATCTTCCATGTAAATCTCACCGGAAAAAAAATTAGCTTCTGAAGCAAAAAAGAGATAAAAATGTCCGCGATTCTTATAATAATTTCAGGATGAATCTAAATGTAAAATTTAATCTGCAGTACTCACCTTTATCTTTATCATTCTAATGGTTTCATTCATATGGTTTCGCATTTGCATGAACTATACAATATATACATGTACGTATACCGATACCTGATACCTCAGTCTTCGGATAATCGATATGGCATCTCGCTGAATGATATCTACCGAAACCGTAAAATATTCCGCGGTCTTAAATGAAGGTGAATATAATACTGCGAGGAATTACGAATGTAAGAAATTAATTCGATTTAGAAGGAAATCTGTAAGATGAACGGGGTCGCGCGCCAGTCGATAATTGCCCTGCCTCATTTTTAAACTAAAGGTTCATAAGAATCGACGAAAAAATCGGCTAAGTGAAACATATCGCTCGGATTATCATATAATAGTTAAACATAATATTTATTTAAAATATATCTCTGGCCCGACAACTCCGCTGAAATCAATCTCTTAAAATCATAAGGTTTAATAAACAAATTTTGAGAATCAATGTGATATCCGTTATTGCAATCACGATTCAATAGAGAAACTCATTGTCAGATAAAAGCTGTTTTGAAACATAGTATGAGTTTTGTTTCACGCGATTCAATAACCGATTCTTGAAAGATGATATGTGTATGATATGTTAATAGTTTTTCTTAAAATCCAGAAATATATTTTCTCTCGTAGATTAGAACTCCATCAGCAATAATATTTTCTTTTCAAAATATTCTCTCAACCGAGCGGAATTATAATCGTTATCCCAGGCGATTCTGATCGGTTCCCACAAAACGGAACGCAAAATGCGAGCTCGTTTATCGAAATTAATTTAAAACACAAGAAATAGAGAATATTCAGCATATATAATTACATATAATTTGTAATATGTAAAATATTTTATGACCCTGCATCTTGGTGTTTATTTTTGTTATGACATATAGTACACATTATGCGCAAACAAGGCCATCAGAGACAAGCGAACAAGCAGCGGCATGAATCGTTTCGTGTACTATCGTACTATCTCTCGAAACGCAATCGTGTCTCATATAGTTATCACAGTATACGATTATTAGCTCGCGGAATTAAAACCGTTACATATACCCTCGAATAACATGATTAATTGGTTCAGTTATTGAAAACCGTGTTATTCGAGACTTAGAATTCGTACAATTTTGGAGATCACGTTCCGTTAACGAAAACCGTGCAATTCAAGACTCCAGATTCATATAAAACTGGATATTTGGTTCCAAGAAATTATTTTGAAAAAACTTTTAAAAAGTAGGATTGTTACAAATTTTTACTATGCTATTCGAAACTCCATGCAATTTAAGTAACATGTTACTTGAGGATCACCTATATTTTATGCAAGACTGCGTCTGATGCACGATCTTGGTGTTTGTACGGTGAGCAAGGTTGCTGAATATTTCCATCGCGATCGATACACAATTAATAGTAAAGTGCGCGTGAATCGCGTGATTGACAAAATGTTTAATCAAAATGTAACTATCTATATCTCAAGATTTGAAACTTTATTTCGAGTGTTATCTCACTCGTAAGGATTTTTTTTTATACCTGATTGCGTTTTAACCCGAGATTCATGTCATGATTATAAGAGGGACTTTAAATCGCGTTATCCAAATCTCAGTTGATTGCGATAGAAGACACATTTGCCGCGCAAATTTTGCAAATTTTCACAATTTACATCGTTGATTGAATAATTTATTTTAACAGAACAAAGTTCGAACTTCATCTTTTTAAGAGAAAAATTTTTGATACGCAGCGCAGCGACCTGTTCTGTTAAAAATCGGATATTCAATTATGCAAATGTAAAACTTTGATAATTTGCATTCGAACGAGTGAAGATCCAAATGTGCGAGATAAAATGCAAGGAGTATAGAATGTGAAACTTACTTGGTACCCGTCGTACGTCCAGGAGGCCCATTTCAGGGCACATCGTTGCTCGTCAAAGGGAAAGAACTCTACATTTATGTCGCAGCTGCTGCGAAAGATACCGTGGCTTAGCCAGACCACCTCGCCCGTATGACTGACGATCACGTTTGTATTGATGACCGCTGAACTATATTGTGGATCCGCACTGTAACCAGAAAATTGAAATCGCGACGAGATATATATAGATTTCTTTCTTTTATTTCGAACAGCTTTGAACTCCGTTCGAAATTATATACTATTTGATTTAGGAAATTATATTTTATCTTCTCTATAATGCTTTTAAATTTATCCTAAATTATTTTTGTCTCCCGTCTTTATTTTCTTTTTGTTTTGTTATTCTACCGACACTGAAAATTGTTAATTTCTAAAATTACTCGCGAGCTTTTCTTTTCAATCATACTTATTTTGTTCAGGATCACCTTCAGACTCTACTTTATGCGTATCGCCGCAAAGTATCCCGCAAGGGATTGAAAGAAGTTTTCAAAAGAATAGCAGGATCTCGGGAGATCTCAGGTGGATGTATAAATCATTACTTCAATTTGTGGAATTTTTTAATATCCCCGCCGGTTGAATGCATGAACTTTTTTCTTGCGGTATACATTTTTAACTTGCAACAGCGTTGAAAAGTTCGCGAAAAAGCTCATTCCCCGATTCGAGATGAATGCTCACTTGTTATACAAAATCGTGTCAGGTCGCCAGACACGATTGTATGGAACGCGGATTACTCGAATTCCAGCGAATTCCGAGGCATTCCATTTCAAGTGATGATCGGTCCAAACCTGCGTAACCCAACAGTTGGTCGTGAGTATCTGGTTCTTTTCATCCTGGAATAAATAATATAAAGCCGTGAGACGTAAAAAAATATAAAGCAAAACGGTCTTCGTACAAACGGTAATAAATTTGTTTATAAATATAAATGCCGCGCGCGAATTATTTATTTGTTTTAACGTGAAATTTAATTTATTTTTCCGATAATGCGCTTCTTTCGCTTATCTACTTATCTTTTCGCGGAACACGATTTACTTGAAGAAATAAATTAGACATTTATTTACTTAATCAGTAGCTTATTTCTGTACACGTACAACGGAAGATCTTTCCCGGAAGGAAATTTTATAATTTGTAACTAATTTATCGTGAAATATTTAATTTGTTACTCTTAAAAAGACTGCTCTCTAAAGGAGGCCGTTGGAACTGACCTGTGTGATTAATTGGAGTTTATATATAACAACGAAACACGAATTGTCGACGATATGGTCGACAAACAACAGGCAATATATATCTTTCTAGTTATAAAAAATATGAGCAATCTCTCACAAAATCCGAAACAGTTTTAAAGCCACGTCGTGTAGTAATATTATTCTCGCAATCAATTTTAATAAATTCAACGCTTTATCCTCAAATAAAAATAAAGTAAATGCAAATAAAACTAATAAAATATTTTAAAATCAATTAGTTTTATTGAAACTTTTGATAATCTTAAACACGACAATTAAAAATGAATAGAATTAGGTAAAAAAGTGCAATGTTGATAAACTAAAATTATTTAACTTATATTAATGTTCTATGTAGCTCTTTTTTATAAACTAAATAATTAGCTCAGATTCTCTTATTATAATCGTCGACCAGTTTTAATTTATTTTTCCGAAATACGTTTCGCAATTCTTTCGATAGAAACAATCCATTATATCTTTCCGCTTCAAGGAAAATGAAATGTCAAACATTACTCTTGCCCGCAGACTTTTTCTTACTTTTGCTAACAGTATAAGACGCTTAATTAACGTCAATTGTAAAATTATATGAAGCAGTTCCGCGGCATTTAATTGGCCACCGCAACCGTGCGAAACCCGGAACCTTACGAATTCCGCGGTGAACGCTATCTCGATAGAGATTGACGTTTAATCGATGCAATAATTTTTTATAATTACTTAGATCTCGTTATTTTGTACGCAGAGCATAAATATTCAAAGGTTCCGGTGCGCGCTGTTTTCCTCAAGACCTTTACCCACCGACTCGCTCTATAATCTTGTGAACTTTTAAGAGATCATCTGCGCTTGACATCTCAAGATCGAATTTCTTTAATTAAAGTAGCACCAGTAACATTACGATACATATTATATTCTTAAATCGCTCATTAAAGCACAGTTGCATCGATAAATAATTATTGAAACTAAATTTGTTGTATTAACCGTTATAATAATCTTTAATTATAATTATTATATGTTAATTGTTATTATAACTCGTTTATTCTTTTTCGGAAATGAGAAGAGGCAATATTTTTAATTATTATATATTTGCAAGTCAAACAAGCCATTATTCACTGATATTCTTGTTAAACTTTTAATAAGTACTTTTCTGCCCGTTTGACAAAAGAAAAATTATTTAATAATTCCTTTCTGGACAATTTAGTGAATTTTTAGTTTACCTGAGTAGTTATTACCGTGATGATAAAAGAAGATGGATAATGTACGGAGTAATATAGTCTCCGCGAAGAAGCTATATTATTCTCACTTAATGTTTAACATTCATCTCCATGTATCATCTTGAGACCAGATACTATGGAAAATCAACGGAATGTGTAATCCAATAGCGCATGATGTAACGAAGATACTATCGTGAAACTATGTACCTATAATGTTTCAATTGGAGCCCTTAGGTATGTTGAGAATTTAAACGGTAGGAATTTGCAGTTTGACGAGCAATCGCGATTTTACGAATTTAAAGTTGCATGGCATCTGTCCATATAAAAATGTATAGTCCCCGAATGAAATGAATACAAATCATTAATTGCAGCGGATGATGGGTCATCTTTCGAGCGACTTATAATGATATTAGTGCAAAGTTGCTTTCTGTAAGATTCTCTTTTGCTTTGCAAATATACAACTTATAATAAAAACGCTATATTTAATATAACGATAAATTTTGCGAATGAGAGGAAATAGGATTCGCGCAAAGTCCTCTCGGTTATTACTCACTTATCTCTATTTCATGAACAACGAAAGATTCAGCGGTTGACGAGACTCGACTCGATGGGGAAACCGCGTGATATTGCATTATCATCAATATTATCAAACGAAAAGAAACGAGAAGGGGAGAGACGAGCCGGATGATCGACCGTATATTGCGCGATAGATGTAACGAGCTCTCGTTAGACGGTCTCAGGTCTCCCTGGGGTGACCGGTTGGTTACGTTGCGCTAAAGGTTGCTCTCGTTACTGCCATACGCGAAACAAATGCCTGAAACTTTCCCACCGGCTTACTTATTCTCACGCCAATTTATCTCGCGTATCTCCGATTACCACCGGGGATCCCGTCACGGTCGCGGTGTTTCCATTTTCGTTACGATACGCATTTTTCTCAATTTTACCTCGTGTCTCGTGACAAATCTAAGGGAAGACTCGAAAATCTCGCGAGATATCGAGGATAGAGGTAAATCAGATAAAAGGGAAACTAATAAAAAATTGATAAAATTTAGCAACTTGATTAATTTAGCTTGTGGACTGAATACATAATTATATTTTTTGCATGCTCGTGTATCGTCGCACGAAAAAGCGGTGAGTAATGTTATTATATCACAGTTTTATGAGTCTTCAAATAAAAGTATAATAAAATTTGTTTATTCTTTACGAGCAGTGAATTCAAACGTTATTTCCACCGTTTGTTTCGGTGGGAATTTTTTTCAGCCGCACGGGCAGGAATTTATTTTATTAAAGATCAAATCCGTTTACTGAGAATTCTGTTTGAATGCCAAAGCGCTGATAAAAGTCGATAACAAAAAAATCGATAGACGCGAATGCAAGTATCGTTAAAAACCGAGCAATCGCGCGTTTTCATATTTTTTCTCTCTTGTATTTAAATTATTTCTTGTTCTGTGAAATTCGTTGAGAGGAGAGACGCCTTTTTTCGATTGATTACGTCACGCGTCACCGTTATCTCGTTTATACAAGGAAATATTTTCTCATGTGCTTATTTTTATTATGCTATATAAAGAATAACAACAATGTAATGTCTCCGCGGGATTCCTCGAATGGATGTACAATCTCGACAGTAGAAAACGAAAGAATATGAAAACATTTTTGAAGAAAATCCACGCGTTTTCGCTCGGCCTCGCCTGTAGAGAGGGATTTCGTGCAGCCAACAGTTCTTTAATACATTTCGATCGTCGTTGAACTGTAAGAATTTCGAGAAATTGTTGGAATTTCTGCTAATATTTCTGTTTTACAACCGTCGTCAATATTTTGATTGCTTATAAAATACGTATGTGGTTCTCTCTCTCACTCTCTCGTACCGTATATTAATATTAGTATAAATAATTAAGATTATTTAATGCTTGAATACTCACGACGTCGATAATATGATGAAGAGACAGTCCAAAAACCACGACCAGTGGCTGGGACGAATTTTTAGCTGGCCTCACGCCGGCGTCATATCCATCCAGCAAGTACTTCGTCAGTCTGTATTCGTGCTCGTCGCAAACACCTGAACAGATAAAAATGAGATTAATTTCCTAATTGCTTTATATTAAATCGCAACTTAAACTAAAATCTTTAAAAATATATATTCAATATTTCACATATCCTTTCTCGTTAAGAAAAAAATATAATCGTATTGATTGATTTAGCTAGAGCTAGAGAAACAGAGTTAACGTAATAACATTTACACTTTCATAATTTCATTATTATATTATATTATTATTATAGAATTATTTATTAGTAAAATAGATAAAATATAAACAGATCTTTGTACGATAAATTTATGTATCTTTATATATAGAACTTTATCTTTCTAAATAAATGTATGTATCTTTATAAATCTATAAAAATAGAATAGCTTGCAGTGTATTAAAACAAATATTTTTATTTTATTAAAAAAGATAAATCTATTGGCTGCAACTAGAAAAATTTCATACGTTTAACTGTACTGTCGTTAGTTTTTTATATTTAATTTAACATTCGTTATATATTCGTTATTTCAAGATATATTGATGCTCGTGAATATTGAAACAATAGGTACAATGCCCTTTAGCCTATTCGGCTAGAAAAGTTTCAATATTCCTCTCTTTCGAGACTTTTAATAATCGTTTTATCACTGGATATTGTTAATAATTTAAAGAAAAACAACTCGATAATATAAATAAAATTTATAAGTAAATTGAACCATGAATTTAGCAAGTATGAATACAGTATATGAATAGATGCGACGACACATGTGTGATGCGAATCTAATATACGTGTGTGTTAATTTAATTATTAATAATTTCCAATTATACATCTCTTTTTTCAATTTATAATATCACGCGGAAAAAACAAAATATCCGCGTAAAGAGTCACTTCACCGTCTAATCGCGACACAAGTGATACCCGAAGGAATAAAATGCGGAGAATCACTCAGAATTGAGGATGGCGCAAGGCCGAGCGCGAGAAGCGGCGCAAAGTCCTGGGAAGCGGCCTCGCAAAAAACTTAAAGAGATTCCTTTCGCCGGGCCCTTCTCTCTGATCAGTGATCACAGCTCTGATCCGTTTCGTTACGTGGATGTTCGTCCATTATAGCGATCGGCTACATGATCAGTAACGTCAGTCCACCTCCCCATTGAAGCGACCATTGTGCCGTGAAGCGTGGTGAAACCTGTCAGAGGCCCGAGCTAATCTCGGCCCGAAGTAAAGAAAGATAGGAAGGTACTACTAGAAAGATAAGTGATACTCGTCGCGAGGATACCGCTCGTAATTAGGAGAGTGAGTTCTTACGGTCCTATCGAACTGTAAAAGCTGTATCTTCAAACGACTATGAGTGCCGTCTTTAATGCCGACGTTTGAACGACGCTAAAGTAAAATTATCGGCAATTTTGCTGGTACACAAGATATAGTATAGCATTATTTCTCAATAATAAATCTTTTTATCAATTTACAAAATCATCTAACATCTTATTCTTATGAAAAAAAAAAAATGTTCAGGCTACTATAATTTTCCAGCAATTTTAAAATAATTTACGAAGTATAAAATTAAATATCTATTTTTCGAAAGTATCACTTAAATATATCTTTTCGGTAATATTTTCAAATTATGTAATAAGAATCAACAAAAATATATTTTGTTGATTCTTATTACATAATAAAACTTTACAATTTCTCATATGAACTATTACATAAGAAAACATTAGCAAAAGATATTAAAAATCGTACATAATCAAAATTTACTAAGACGTTTTTTTATTTCTCCGACGAAATAAATTTTACATTTCACTCTTATTATATCGTTTCTTTCTACGAATCACGCAGCAAATCTCAAAAATAAGACTTAATAATTTATTCCTCATTAAAGGTAAAAATGATATAGATGTAGTTCTATGATTGAAATTTGGTTCTGGTTTCGTTCTTTCGATTATTATTAAGTGTGTGTGACTGTGAATAATTTTAATATATATTCAATGTATTTTAACGTCTCGTTTTCATGATTCTCGCATGTAATTCGAATCTTTCATCCCCGCGCCGGGCGAAATAATCCCCCACAAGATTCTCGCAGATCGAGAAATATATCGGCCCGTCACCATCGTCGGGAACGTAAATCGAAAAATCTCACAGATTTGTAATGAGATCGTATGTCAAATGTCGATACTCTGTATGAGCTCCGGAATATCTCGCGGGATCTCGAGTCTCGATCGACCGACATCGAATTTCTTCGGGCAGAACGGTTCGCCGCTCGAAGACATTCGTCTCCGTCTGGAGATTAACCCCCCCCCCCCCTCCCAGGATATGAAGATGTTCGATTATCCGAACAATTGGAGCAAGAATAAAATTCTTACATCGCAGAACAACAATCAACGGAACAGCATACGACTAAATAAACAAATCTGTTGAAAGATATTTATTTTTCTTATAATCTATAAAGTATAAACATCGTAATTACACACATAATAAAATTACTTACAATATATTCAAACTTTGCTAAAATACTACCGCTTGAAGAATACAATACGCATAACTGATGGCTTATACAAACAATTAGTATTAATTTAATAAGATAACCCTCTTGAAAATGACTCTTTTGCCACAATAATGATACGATATTTGTTTTCCTCTCTCGATCGATTCGAACTTTTAACCGTATCGGATTTCACTGAAAACACTGAAAAAAAAACATTGAAGAAAAACATTGACTTTTCTTTGCACACGGTTAGCCGCGTACACCTCGGCGTACACGAATAAAATTTGTGAGCGACGAGGAAATAATCGCCGATAGCGGCTGTAACCGCTAAAACCTCGGTACGTAAACCGATTTACTAAATGCATGCACAGGCCCCGATTCCGACGGATATGTAAATTCCACCTGGGCGTCCCGATCACCGAATTTCGTGCCACGGAGGAGGCGTCAAATGGCCCCTTGACGCGATTGATTCGCAAACGTTTACATTACCAGATGTGACGCAAACATACCGTAACGAAGTCCAGTTAAGATCGAAAGCTATATTACATCGTGGGTCACACGTGAAACCTCTGCCCCTTACATGTATCTCGTCAGCTTTTCTCAGCAAACTGAAGCCGTTCGTTAAGCCAAATTACTTTCGTGCATTATAAAATAAATTAAATTAAATCATTAAACATAATTAGAAAATTACATAATTAGTTTAGCTTAAAACTAAGGATGATTTTTAAAATAAGTTTTAAAGTATGCAATTTTGTTGGGTTGGAAAGAAAATTAAAATTAAAAAACGCGGTTGAAGAATTAAGAGAATGGGGACGTAGCGTTCCTTGTGTTTCAATATGACTTCAATCGGAAAGCAACGTTGTTTTGTGTCACTAAAAGCTGCAATCAGTATTAAAAGTTTCGCGAACCTTTCTCTTATGTCTGGCGCAAATTATGCCGATAAAAGTAAACTCACAGGATTCTACTTGAATACGATTGTCTGCGCTCTCGCAACTGACTTTCACGCCATCACGAATGGAATTTTCTACTGAGCCGGGAAATCTGAAATTTGTGCGATCGACAACTCGTATTTCGTATAATAAGTATTCATTTACGCGTTCATTAAATTGACTCGATTGATCTCTCGAGAATGTATATCTTCAAGAGAATATTGCGAGTTAATACGCGCGCGGGAAAAAAATCATCGAATCGCCATGGTCAAATCCTTGAAGACTTCACGGTCGAGAGTTGTAATAAAAATCGCGAAATCATTCGCGTGTCGAGGACGCTCTTCCTAAAAATGGCCTGCGATTTGTTGACGTTTCAGCCTTGATTTGATCGCGTCGCTAATTTACATCTCAGACGTCTTTGATAGCAGCGGTTGTGTAGTCCCCGCCGGGCAAAAGCTATGACGAGCTTTGTGACGTCCAACAATATCTAAACAATTCCGAAACGCGCTGCACTTGGGCTGCACCGAGAGGGGCGAGAACCTTGGAACTTTATTGACGACGGCCTACATCTTTCTCAGCTTCCGAGATAATCCAGCATTATATAGGAAAAGGGCAAATAATCGAGTTTCTGAGGACGTCTCGAAGATGACAAGTATCAATAATCCGATTTCTTGAAACGAGATAATCATTCTCCCTCGTGCGGTGTTTGTGTTATTTCATATAAATGAAATTTCCTACGTCAAACGCGAGCTCTGTACTGAGCAAAAGAATTTTCACTGTGTAAATAAGATTTGACATAGATTTATTAAAAAATAAGTTTTTGTGAGACGCAACTAAAACTTCTTAGACCTGTTTTTCGAGAAGACTTCAATATTCAATAACTTCTTAATTTTGTAAAATATAAAAAATATTCTATGTAAATCATGCATGTAATTATAAAATTTATCTTGAAAGGAGATCCAGTGGAGATAATAGAAATAAAATTATTAGCTCTTTCAAGCTTGAATAAGACATTGTTACTCTTAATTGTTATTACAGAAATTAATAAGAAAGTTTTTAAATTACTTGAAAATGCATTACAAATGTTTCATTGTTTTAAAGAAAATCTATTTTATTTCAATCATTAAATATTAAACTTAATTATGCAAAAATCAAATTTAATATGTCAAGTAATTATTATTAAGTAATTACATTAATTATTACAAAATTTAAATGTGCAAAAAAGTATCTGAAAAAAAGTTTCTAGCTTCTTTATCTGTTGATCAGTGGATATAAGATTTTGTTACTTATCGATCTTAAATCTTGAATTTCTAATTGACGGAAACTCTTTTCAACCTCTAATCGCAGTGTTGATTTGCGAATGTTAAACTGCCAACAAAATTAGGGAATAGAAATGATTCCAGTCGCGAGTTCGCGGATACTTTGTGCGAATTATGCGAATAAATGAAAATAGCGCGATGCCGCCAGGCACTCACCATTCCCGAAGGCGATGATCAGAAGAAGCCCGTATCGAAGAAACGGGACGAGAGACGGCGACATGGAATTGAGGGCCTGCTCGTGACCGCGTGACCGCCTACGTACGACTGGTACACGACGGCGGTTTTCAACCACCGTGCGATTTCGCCCCTGAATCCCGCGCTATCCCTACCTAGAGAACGCGCGGGTTCCCGATTCCCGAAGGAAATTCGCGCAGGCGTCCCCCGCGGACGCCGAAACAACGCGGGCGGCGGGATCGCGTGAAACGGACGCTTGAAGGTACGCGGGCACGCATCACATATATTATATCTCTCGTTGTGATCTTCAGTTCGGTGCCCAGATGGCGAAAAGCACCGAAATATTTACAAAAGACCTATAAAAAGGACTTTCTGTCGCGATCTATTTTTAATTAATAATTATAATCATTCATTAATTAATATTATTTCATCGATCACGAACAAGAACAAGCTTTAAATCGTTTTACGCTTTGCAAGTCGTGATTTAAATGTGGAAAAATAGAGCTTTATAATTAAGTTTCTTTAAAAATGTATTTATATATATCTACATAAATAACATTTTTTATAATACATTTTACATATACTGTGTGTTAAAATTACCCTCGTTTCGCAACCGTGAGTTTTCAAAAATTTTGTTCTGCAAGTCATTGTAAATTTCGAAAAAATTAAAAGAGATTTCAGAAATTACAATCTCGTAATATAAAATTTTTTAAATAAAATTGATTGTCAAGTATATCTCATTTTTGTAACAATAACCATTTTTTTACGAGATAAATATCATCACTGCCGCGCGAAATTTTGTATCTCTAAAATAATTGGGTTTAACTGGGACTGATTTATTGCACATTTCTACGCAATTTTATACACACCGCATAAATGCCATGTAATTAATCTACATATTAATTCCAGCGGTGTCAAGAAATGAAAGTATTTAATATCGTATCGTCGTTACAATAAATTACAAAACGTTGTTACGGATTACAAACGATTCATTATCATTACGTAGTGCATTAAATTATGAAAACAATAAATATAGCACGCACGACTTTTGAAGCAGGATATATGTATATATTTTTACAACCAATCGTGAAACAATCTTTTTACAAATATGCGAGCGATGAAATAATGCTTGTTAATAAATAGATTGCAGGCGATACAAGTCATGGATCTTAAAAATTGACAACTCATCCTAACGTCGATTTCGCGTGGACGTCATATCAAAAAGGGTAACATTTATCGTCGCATAAACTCTGATAAAAAAAATTGGGTTTACAATTTCTCTAAGAACTTCCGCTATATTACACTCTGGCACTTGAGATTAGTGATACGAGATAATCAAATATCCTGAGAATATTGTCTAGACGCGTACTTTAAGTCATACTAGAGAGAATATACTCTTATAAATATTCTCGCGATATATATCAATGTATAGATACTGTTATTTTAATATTCTCAGGATATACCTCAAAGGCCCTTTTCCAGAGAATTCACTCGGGATATTCTCCTACCCGGAGTATTTTTTCCGAGAATATTTACATCGCTACTCGAGATCCCCTCGATACGAGCGACGTTGTTGACTGGGTTGACATCAGCTGGAGAATCCAGGGTTAGTGTGTTCTATGACGCAACGTCGGCAGTAGCGTTTGACCGCGCGATAGCCGACCCACGTGACTCTAGGGCACTCGCCGATGTTGAGCTGCCGCAGGCCACGCACGTAGTAGGCCAACGCTTCGAGGCCGGCGTCGGTGATCCTCTCGCATCCGCACAGGGACAGCTTCTTCAGGTTCGGGCATCCGGTGGAGAGTGCCTCGAGGGTCGCGTCGCCGATGTCGCACTTGCCTATGTCCAGGGCGCGCATACGCGGGCAACCGCGCGCCAAGGCGATGGTCGCGCTGTCGCTGAGCGCCTCGCAACCGCGGGCGTTCAGGTAGCGCAGCTTGTAGCAATGACGGGCGACGACCAGCAGACCGGCGTCGGACACGCGGTCGCATTTGCCTACGGAGAAGTAGCGGAGGGACGGACCGAGACGCGCCGCCACCTCGCGCACCCCGAAGTCCGTAACTTTCACGCAATCCGAGACCGATAGCTGACGCAGGCTGGCGCAGTAGGAGGCGATGGCGACCAGGCTGGCATCGGTAATGCGGCCACATCTACGTAGGTAAAGGCATCCCAGGTGCGGCATGCGCGACAGGCTCAGCACCAGGCCGGAATCCTCGACGCCGTGACAGTCGCTGAGATCGAGCGACTGCAGCTGTAAAATAGTGGTACGACCGCAGGCGCGAGTGACATTAGGACAACCGGTCAGGTCGAGTTCTCTGAGATGAGCGCAGCTGTCCAGCACGGTGGTGACGTTGGCGTCGGTGACTCGACGCGAGTGTCGCAACACCAGGGAAGTCAGATTAAGGTACGGCAGCTGGGCGAAAATGCCGGGCAATCCGGTGGCACCTTCCAAGACCAGACGACGGACGCACGTGTGGCAGCCACGGCGCGTCAAGGCATATAACGCCGCTGTGGCGTTCTGTGGATAACGCACCTCGACCTCTCGCCAAAGCGCCGGGTGCCACGCGATCTCCCAGAGGCGTCGGCAGGTCTGCGCCAAGGAGCAGCGGTCGCGGGTGTCGAGCCAGCTGAAAATCCTCAGCAACAAATTGTCATCGAGTTGACAGAGGTCATTGACCGCGACGTGGTAAACCAGATGGTGCTTCGGCTGCGGTAGCTGTTGCTGCTGTTGCTGCTGGCGAATCGGCGTGCTGGACACGCCCGGGGTAGACGAGGACGACGACGACGTGGTGCGACAAGCATTGTTGTCGAGGGTGTGGTAGCCCAAGTCGATGGCGTCCGCACCTGGTCGATAAACGCCGACCTTCTGCGAGTAGCCTCCTCCCCGCTCAGAGCCGCTCTGCTCCCCGAAGCTGGGAAAGAGGAGTGGGCATGATCCTTCCATTCCATGCTCTGTTCTGCAAATTGGAAACTTATTTCAAAATACAATTGTGTTTTTTACATTCATGTTTAAGTAAAGATAAAAATTACTTGGGTCATTCGAGGTGGCATTGCAAGGCAAAATATTTTTGCTTTTTAATCTTAAGATAAATAATACTTTATTTAATAATGGATAATATAAAAAATATTATACTTAAAAATACATTTCTTCACCTGGATTTGCTCAATAAAAATATATAATTTTAGAGATATATAAATTTTAACAATTGAAGCATTCAAAATTGACAAATCTAAATTATAAATAGAGACCGCTTTTGCGTATCAAAGAAAAACAGAAAAAAAATTTATTTGCGTAATTATATTAGCTTATGTCAAGGAAGACACATATGTCATAACATAAATCTACAAATAGACTACTCTCCGAATTTATAGAAGCATATATAAAACTGTCACAATTCCACGTTTTTCGATTGAACTTTCGTGCTGGTTCAACGATAATTTCGGCATATTCGCTTTCGAAAAAAATCCAGCCACCGTGAATCTCGAATTTTGCGCGGGGGAGGGACCTCGTCGATGCGTCGCAACGCGTCGCGAAGCCGTTTACGGCTCGAGGCTCGACGTGCGACGTTCACAAAACTTACAAACGGGATGCCGAACGGGAGAGTCAGCGACCGTGCGTGACATCACCGAGCAATATCGATCTATTCGCCACCACCTCCATGTTGATCCCGCATTCCAACTCTCGTGAAGCAGCTGCGGGGCCCGAGCGCGTTTCGCTCCGCGCGGGGGGACCGACGGGCAGCGGTGAACGGGATCCGCTCGGCGGTCGCGCGCGCCTTGGAATTCGTCGAGTCGCTCGTACGGTCGCCGTGGAACGTGCGCGATCGCGTTTCGCGGACGCGGAATGGAAAATCCGACATATGACAGGCCCCCGACCCCCGACACACTTACGGGGCCCCAACGCTGCCCAACGCGGTGGATCATCCCCCCCTCTCTCGTTTCCACGATCGGAACCCCTCTCCAAGTCGATCAACCGGGACTTCTAGCTTCTAGCGGGTCCCAAGTCCCAAGTGGTCCCAAGATGAAAGGTGCGTCGCGAGAGGCGCTTCACCTCATTGGCGGCGCAGATTGGGCCCAAAACGCCAAAAAATTAGTCAGATTTCGCATGAACGTGAATCACAAATTTCTACATTCGAGAAAGACCAAAAAATTCATATTAAACGAAAAACAAGCGTAACAAATAATAATAAAATAATGAATCGTTGTAATAAAGTATAAATCGTGCGCGATCGCAAAGATTTGGACAAACCAGCACGTTAGCAAAATGGCGACTCTATGCCCTTATGTCTTATTCTAAAGCCAAAATATAAAGCGGAAATCTTATTCGTTTTTCACGACTTTTGTACTATTTTCGACACAATAATTGTTTCTTCCAATTTTTATGCTATTCTTAAATCTATCTGTTATAGAATTAATTCATATCTGCACACCATCTGCTCGCTCATTTTTTTTCTAAAGCAATATTATACATCTATTATATTTTATTTTATTTCTTTTTTCCGTCTAAGACTAGCATTATTTCGTTTTAAAAATACGTTTTAAAATTTCTAATAATTACAGAACGGACTTACGAACGATTTTTATTGCGGAATTCGTACGTCACGTGACTATTTGCTTAAAGAACGGCTTCCCGCGTTCGTAATTCGCGCGGTTTATATCGCGCGGGGCCGAACCGAGCGAAGATTAAATCCGGCCAATCAGAATCGTCGTTCCGTCGCCGCCGTCGTGTGTCGTGTGCGGCCCTCATAATCGGTGTGTAGTGTATATATGTATCGCACCTAATGCTCTCGGGAACGAATTATGGCATTGTCTTTTATCAGAGCTAAGGCACTACAGCACGGAAATTCGCACTTGCGTCTCTTCGCCAGCGTATCGACCATGAAGGTAATCCTCGTGATCCTCCCTCGTCCACTAGTGCGGCGCGTTCGCTTCTCGAGACGGCGAGACGGCGAAATTCCCATCTCGGGGGGGAAAAATCCGACGAACGTAATCCGAGACGATGCGATCCCCGTCGTCGTGTTCGCGTACGAGGTTCACCTCGGACGAGTTATCTATGCTCGCTCTCGTCGACGTCGACGCCGACTCGACACCCCCCAAATCCTCTATGTGCTTACTCGTCTACGACCTTGTCACCGTTGTCGCCCGCTCCCCTGACATACTTGCCCCCTTTTTTTCCGCAGACGGGATTGGTACTGGGTGTATACGAAACCGAGAGCGAGGACAACGTTGTGCTCACCCCCACGGCGGCCAAGTACAACGATCTGGTCAACGGCAAGCTGCTGAAGAATATTTTGCTGTAAGTTCCCAGTGCCCGCTACTTACCATCGCTGTAAATCTCTTTTTTGTGCATCCTCGCGATTTTAGAGAGATACGGCATTCCACACTGCAGCGCGCGTCTGTGTTAGTATCGTTTTCCTTTTTTTTTTTTTTTAATCTAACAAGGCTGTACCCCTTGTGTGCGCCTCTGTTGTGTAGAATATACTCTCCAGACTATTCTGCATTGACACATATGTTTGTTTACTCGACACGTCGAAACGCTCCTTTTTTTTCTCCATATTGTACTCTTCTGTCGACGAAGTTGACCTGTGTTCCCTCATGTATATACATGTACTCTTAGCACATACCTTGTTTAACAAGCGCGTACGCTAAGGTGTAGAACCGTGACGTGTACGATAAAGACCTCCCCCTGCCCCCCCCACCCGTCCATACACAGCATTGCATTTCCAAATTGTTGTTTCACTTTCGTTTCGTCATACGATATAACAATATGTTTAAATATTTTATTCATATTTCCAGCCTGAAACAATTGTTATAATGCTGCCTGAGCTTTTATCTGATATTTAAAAGTGCTTTCCCTTTGTTATTCTTAAAATTCTCATATGAAGTATTATTTCTGTTATTGAAAATTTTTGAATTTTTCAACGATAGTCGTGCGCCTCACGGAGCTCACTGGCATTATTTTCATTGTTTCAGGAGTGACTAGAGAGACGGTATTATAGGCATGATATGAAGTGCAACTTGCTCCGCACAAGGATATCCTAGAAACACGCTGCGCTTTATAAATGAGAATTATAATACTGCCTGATTTATGATATATTCTTTTCGACGCGACGTCAGACAAATCAAATAGGAGATTTTAAGTCGGTTAAGTCGTTCAATTAATTAACCATCACTGCTTCAAGACTGACAGAAATCGAAGTAGAGTAATAGTAGTAATGTCGACTCCTGGCGACGGTAATATGGGGAACGATAGCAGCGCAGGGAGCAGTGGTGGATTAGGCGACGGTAGCGGTAAAATTAATAAGCCTCATCCGCCTACGAATGTGCTACAGAGGATGACCGGGATATTAGAAGATAAGAGCAACGATTACATGTGTCCGATTTGTTTCGATCTTATCGACACGGCGTATATTACACGTTGCGGACACACGTTCTGTCACCACTGTATCGTAAAGTGCTTAGAGATTAAGGATCGTTGCCCGAAATGCAGTTTCACGTTGAGCGAGCAGGACATTTTCCCGAATTTTCTGTTGGACGAGCTAGTTTCCAAGTATAAAACGAGAACTAAAGGTCTCGCTCAGCTAGGCTCTTACGCGGACAATAGTAAGCACCGAGCGGCGGGTAGTGATCTGTCGGCACCGGCGTCCGACGGATTGAGGAGCATCGTGGCAGCGGAGAGCGCCAATCTCACTCTGCCCGACGTTAATGTGATGCTCGAGGTGCTGACCCAACGGAAGCATCTACTCGAGGCGGAGACTTGTACGGCGCAGAACAAGCTTCTGCACGAGTTCCTCAAACACTTGCTGCAACAAAAGGAGGAACAGCGGAATCAGTTGCAGAAAGAAGTGGCGTTGATCAAGAAAGACATGGAAGAAGTGGAGAACATTCTGAAGGACGTTCAGAGCAAATGTCCGCGGGTGGAGGACGTCAAGAAGGCGAGCGAGAACGATTCCGCGCAGGTATCGGCCATTAGGCGGGAGATGCTCGGTCTTCTAGACATAATAGACTCGAATATGGTGAAACCTAGCGACAAGGGGACCATCGGCCCCGACACCTTCTCCAATCCAAGCGTCAGTCATCCCGGTGGATCAACCCTAGCTGTACGTAGGAAGAGGCTGCACGCTCACTTCGACGATTTCGTTCAATGTTACTTCGACTCTCGCGGCAAGGAACTATTGCTCGGTCAGAAATCGCAGCCTCAGAGCGAGACTCACGGCGGCGTGTACAGCACGAGTTCTGGTCTGGACGTCTTTCGCGAAAATCTCGTCAAGTTCTCGAGGTACAATTCTCTGCGTCCAGTGGCTACTCTGAACTACTCATCGGATCTCTTCAACAATTCCACTATCGTGTCTAGTATCGAGTTCGATAAGGACAACGAATTTTTCGCGATTGCCGGTGTCACCAAGCGCATAAAGGTATTCGATTACGGTGCTGTTATACGGGACACCGTCGACATTCATTACCCTTGCGTCGAGATGGTCTCTAGTTCGAAGATCTCGTGCGTCTCGTGGAATTCCTTTCACAAGGGCATGCTTGCGTCATCAGATTATGAAGGTACCGTGACGGTATGGGATGCGACGACCGGTCAGAGGACGAAGACGTTCCAGGAGCACGAGAAGAGGTGTTGGTCGGTCGATTTCAACGACGTGGATACCAGATTGATCGCGTCCGGCTCCGACGATGCCCGGGTGAAATTGTGGGCGTTGAATACCGATCATTCCGTGGCGTCGTTAGAGGCGAAAGCGAACGTGTGCTGCGTAAAATTCAATCCGCGTAGCTCGTGTCACCTGGCGTTTGGATCTGCGGACCACTGTGTACACTACTACGATTTGCGCAACATGAAGGAGGCGTTGTGCATATTCAAGGGCCACCGCAAAGCCGTTTCCTACGTCAAGTTCATCAACAAGGAGGAAATTGTATCAGCCAGCACGGATTCTCAGCTGAAGATGTGGAACATAAATAATCCGCTTTGTCTCCGATCGTTCGTTGGGCATGTGAATGAGAAGAACTTTGTCGGACTTGCTACTGACGGCGATTACGTTGCCTGCGGATCGGAAAATAACGCGCTATATGTATACTACAAAGGGCTGACGAAGCAGTTGTTCTCGTACAAATTCGACGCCGTTCGAAGCATATTGGAGGTGCAGGACAGAAGAGAGGAAGATCTGAACGAGTTCGTGTCCGCGGTGTGCTGGCGGCAGATGTCTAATGTCGTAGTAGCCGCTAACTCTCAAGGAATTATCAAAATATTAGAGCTGGTTTGAGACAATTAGGTAAAAGCAATTGAACGGGGAACTTAACTGACATTGAGTGAAACGCGTATTCGATTACTATAAATTAAAACGGGTCTAAATAATAAAAAAAGATAGCCAAAAGTATAAATATAAGAATAATGATAAAAATTATATTTCAAGAGAAGAAGAGAAGAATTTTGCCGAATTTTCTGTTATTTTTGTTTTTCTTATATTTTTAGTTCGTACACTTTGGCCCGTATTCATAATCCGTTCCTATTTCAAGATCATCTTTAGGGACATTTTAAAATGCTAATACGGCTTTATGAATACGGACCTTAGACCCTTTTTATTTTATGTTATCTGTCTTGTGATTATTTTAGGCGTGAATATAACAACGAGAAGTAATGGAACCATTCTAAATAGCGTAATAATTTATAATAATAATGCGAAAATTTCTACCATTGACGTAATCTATAATAAATCGGATGGAAATGGCGTCGGAAGGATGCATTATCAGCGAATAAAACTATTGCAAATGGAGATCTTCGGTTGATCCATGCTCAATGTATCAGAGAGCACAAATATTTTCTCTGGATTGTATACTATGTGTAAGATGATTAGGTAAATCGGTACTGTTAATTATTACATTTTCGTATCTTTACTCTATTTTCTAATCTAATTTAGATATAATTCTAATCTCAACAGACTGAATCGTAACGATAAAAAGTTTCGCATTATTACATTACGTTCGAAAAATATTCCTGCGTATGACTTATGAAAACGATGATCTTTCGTAATTTTACGTTATTGATACTTAACGCTCGTCGGAGATACCATAATTGCACGCTTGATCTAAATTGTATTTTATGCAGAGATATATATATATATATATATATATATATATATATATATATATATATATATATATATATATATATATATACATACATATATATTTTTAAATATGATTGATGTGTGGTGTGAGAATGACATTTACTACAATAAGTACAATACTTTTGGAAGAAGTGTTCAAGGCTGCAAAAATTTACAGCGGTGTATGCGTGCGTTCGAGATGCGTGATTTTTCCGATAACGCTTCTTAATATCCGAGTGGCGACTATTCCAATATCTTAATCCATTACGAAATCTGCTCTTAATGCAAAACTTAAAAACGATATAAACACGTTTGATAACGGCACAATCTTCTTTTTATAAAATTTTCATAGTAAATTTAAAATGCACTTGTTTAAAACTTCTCTAAAGATTGGAAAAGATTGAAACATCGGAAACCATTAAAACTGATACGCGTATAATAAAATATAATATAAAATTGATATACTACATATGTAACTTCGACTGGCAATCGTATATACAAATCGTACCTGTATTTTCCTAGAAACCACCTAGTAATCGCAATATCGATATTTTGAATACCGAATACCGATAAGTAAATAAAATATCCATGTTTTCGCTACCGTGTGATAGAAATCTCAACAATTCAAAAAGATTGTCTGCAACTTGTTACTAATAAAATTTTCAGCTTAAATTTACTTGGTGGTATCATGATTGCACAATCTTGCAAACAGAGACGTGATAAGGAGTAATCAACGTCTTAAATATTGTTTGCACCGATAATGGTACATATAGATAACGCATATTTTTACTGAAATTTTCTGATTTGCGATATATATTTTTACTACATATCAAATGTTTTATATGATTATATTATCATCTTTGTGTTTGACTTTGCTGTCAAAACTATTTGCAATATTACGTTAGCCTAATTGAAACATTGAATAATTGAAAGACAGATTTAACGCGAAGCAAGTTAATAAGTGCTTTCCATTTACATCAAAACTCAGATAATTCTCACTTGTGACGTCGTTCTATCCTTTTTGGCAATTAATGAATAATAAAGATAGAATGATGTCACAAGTGAGAATTATCTGAGTTTTGATGTAAATGGAAAGCATCTATTGTCTTAATATGAATATTGTAAAAAGAGAAAATGTACAAAGAGCAAATAAAAAAATAAACATATATTGCGATAAGAACAACACTCGCATGGATTTTCGGAATGTGTGGAAATGATAGAACAGTGTGAGTACGTTTTACATTCTTTTTATAAAAGAAATTTTAAGCTTCTGTCATATCGATGAATCTTAGTTCTTGTTTGCGATGAACACGTAATTATATGTAAATCTGTTTTTTACTATTTAATTATGTTCCACTATATAACTATGGCAATTAAACCCCATGACAAAGTCACATTACTACTTATAGTGTTGTTGTACATAAAACAAATTAATAATGAATAATGAAGTTTATCAACGGATATTTCATTGTATTTATATCTTAAGCCGCTGGTATAGGTTGTAATATGCTCGTTTCAACAATGTTAGTGAGAACTGAAGTGTGAAAAACAGTTCCGTAACGTAACGTATCTACGCTGATACTCAGTAGCTCAGAAACACAGCAGTTGTGAATTAATGTGTAGCTATAATCTCCGAAGTGAGTAATTGTAAATGTACCGATGTATAATGTATAACTGGACAAAAAAGAAGAATATTCTAGAATAAAGAATAGTATATTTTTAGAGTGTATTTTAAAATTGCAAGTATACCGTACACATGATGAATGTCAAAAGAACGCCTAGATTCTATTGTAATTAATAAATTTATGAAGTTGTGTCTGGACATTTTTGACTATTTAAGTGCGTACTACTATCGCGTATCTTTCCTTATAAATTGTTCCAATCAATCTTTTCACTAACTTGGAATAAATGTTTACGCTACAGAGCAGGACCAAAGATCCCTAAAGGTCATGCTAGAGTGTTTTGGGGGTTGGATGAAACCGATTACGCCGGAGTCGCGGTAGTTGGACTGGGGAAGCAAGGTCTTGGTATTAACAAACTTGAAGAGATCCATGAAGGAAAGGAAAGTGTACGTGCTGCTGCAGCAGGTAATCTTTATTATTCAAAATATATATTGTGCAAATATAGTCGTTCCACTTTGTTATTCAAATCTCTGTAGATCAAACTTTAAAATTAAAATTTCAATATACATAGTGGAACAATTTTGATACTTTTATTTTAATAATTTTAATATATTATGTTATTTAAAAAAAATAGACTTTAAATTAAAATTATTAAAGAAAAAGTTGTATTATTATAAATAAATATAATAGATTCTATTAAAGTTTTATTGTTCTAGCGGGATGCCGCGCACTGGATGACGTGGAGATAAAGGACATCAAGCTGGAAACCCTGGGAGACGCGGAAGCCGCTGCCGAGGGAGCTGGTTTATCCACGTGGCTTTATCAAGGATTCAAAAATGAAGAGAAGAAAAAGAAGTTACCAAAGATCTCGCTGTACGGAGATGAAGGAGAGTAAGTGATGTTTCTTTATGCTCTCGTCAAAAATATTCATTAAAATTGAGAGATCTAGGGCTACGATCAACGTGACGCTACAAATGCTTTGGAGCGTTCTTCTTCTCTTTCTTTCTTCATTGAAAGAAAAGAGAAGAGGAATGCTTCGAAGCATTTGTATAGCGTCACGTTGACCGTAGCCTAGATTTCGTTTTACGAATACAAAACTAATGGTTTGTCATTTTTTTTAAGGGCGGAATGGCGAGTTGGCATAATTAAAGCCCAGGCGCAGAACTGGGCTCGCGAGCTGTCGGACACGCCCGCGAACCTGATGACGCCCACGATATTTTCGCAACGGGTCTGCGAGGTCCTGACGCATCTCGGGGTCGACGTTCAGGTGCGCGACAAGAGCTGGGCCGAGCAGAAGAAGATGGGTTCGTTCCTCAGCGTGGCGCGCGGTAGCACCGAACCGCCCAAGTTCCTCGAGATCAGTTACAAAGGTGCCGAGAATTCAAGCGAATCACCGGTGACGTTTGTCGGTAAGGGAGTCACTTTCGATGCCGGTGGCATCAGCCTTAAGGTAAGTTACTCTTTCTCCGTTAAAAAAAAAAAAAAAAAATGTAAGGAGAAAGTGAGACTTGAGGACGAACGGTTGCTCACAGCCGTCGTCGGAAATGGACGAGATGCGCGCCGATATGAGCGGCGCCGCCTGCGTGGCCGCTACTATCCGAGCCGCGGCCGAGCTCAAACTGAAGAAAAATATCGTCGGACTGATCCCGCTCACGGAGAATCTGCCGTCCGGACATGCTACGAAGCCGGGAGATCTGGTGCAGGCGATGAACGGCAAAACCATCATCGTGGACAACACCGACGCGGAGGGCAGGTTGATTCTCGCCGACGCGCTGTGCTACGCTCAGCAGTTTAATCCGAGGTTAGATTAAGATTAATCGTGCGAGCCCTGATATTTGAATATTATAAGAAAGCTCTCTTGGATTCTAATTATTTTATCAACGTACTTTTATACTTCAAAAAGATGTCCTTATGAATTATCCCATATTATTACTGTTATGCACTATATTATATTTTATCGATATATTCGACAGATATATTATCAGAAATAATTATAAACTGATAAGTCTTCAATCTCTCTAAATAGATTTATCTTGGATATCGCTACGTTGACCGGTGCCATGAGAATTGCCTTGTCGAACTCCGCGACTGGAGTGTTTACCAATGACAGCAACCTTTATGAAACTCTGAGAAATGCTGGGACGGTAACCGGCGATCGAGTATGGAGATTCCCTCTATGGCAGCATTTCACGGATGAAGTGACGAGTGAGTGATTTAAGGATTGCGATTATTACGTTATCCATTTTAATATTCTTATCGGATTATTTCACAAAACTTCTTTAGAAACTTTTCTCTTTATATGTTCAGCAAGGGGTTACTGTCTCTTATGCATTACCGAAAGCCGGGACATAACGTTGTTATTAATTGTCGCTTACATAAAACTTGAAAATCTCTGTCATGATAATTTTCAGAAAAAGTAAAGGGTGCCGACATAAATAACCTCGCGAAGTGCAAGGGTGGTGGCTCTTGTACCGCCGCTGCCTTTTTGAGGGAGTTTGTTAGCAAGGACATGCCGTGGATGCATCTGGACATAGCTGGTGTCATGGGCCCCGCCCACGACGAATTACCGTATATCCCAGCCGGAATGACCGGGCGCCCGACACGTACGCTTATACAATTCCTACAGGCGCTCTGTTAAACGATCTACTAATGGTCACTTTACGTAACTCGCGCGTCAAACGGGTTCTTGTAATTTTCTATACATATATATATGTAAAAGTTTACACAGAAGGATATGTATATAGAAATATACATATATATATATAGGGGAATTGCGCCTAATATGGAGAGGGATTGTATTGGACGATCTAATCAGACTTAATATGATAACGTTCAGTGATAAAACGCATAAACAACTTACCGCAGGCCAGTAACAGCATTTTTAATGTCTCACTAAGCAGATAACAGACTCGTTGATCAGGTTCCTACGAGAGTTATTAATATCACGAGTCTGAATATTCAGTAGACAGAAACTCGAGTTGAAAATTCTAACAAAATATAAAGAATGCTAACGAAGATTTTATATGCTATAATACATTGCCACTATTATAAGAATATTTGGAGAATGTATGTGTTAAGTATATTAATCAAGGTTTATACGTATGCATTTTTAATTCTTGATATATTTCATACATCAAGATGTAGATAAGATGACTTATCTCAAATAGTTATTTCTATCTGACGGATCATTATCGAAATGCTTGACGATTATACGATCCCCGGAATCAAAGTCATACCTCACCATATTAGGCAGTGCCTACATCTTTTAAGTTACCACTTCTTATATGATTAAAACATATAACCTATAAAAATAATGTATACATGCGATAAAAAAGGATGTCGAATAGAATACTTAACATCTAGATGTGGAAGTTGCTCATTTCAACAACAATTTCCACATTAGTCGAAGACAAATCCCGACATCTCCAGATACATTCGGTATCATGAAATTTAATAATTATGTATTCATTGCATTTTGACATATATGTTTGAAAGACTTGTCATAAAGTTTCTATTAGTAAATCTAGCTTCAAACCTTTTTTTAAATCCATAGCAGTTGATCTATATCCTATTTTCCAAAAAGAAATCCAGCAGAAAAATTTTTCCTCTATTAGACACCGTTCCCCTATATAAAATACAGTTTCCAAATCGAAACTGACAAATCCCACTTTATACATGCAACTATCACGTTTGATTGTCCGGTATATAAAACGACAGTTTTGAAAATAAGTTTTTATACAACTCTTACAATTTTGTACAGTCGAATTGCTTTCGCGTGTAAAGCTCTTCTTTTGGTAAATATTCTTGAGGACTTTATCACAAACAGGATTTTAAACTAGCTGGAATAGTGAAAATAAGAAAGCGTGATCTGTATATGTATATAAGTAACATTTGTATCAACTATATGTATACTACAGTGCATACAATATAATATTGTACAGGATGAAAGTTACATATATTATATGTATACGAGTACATCGGATCTAAAAAATAGCGAGTAATATAAGCATTCTGTCCTGGACATGCAAAAGACATAATGTATAAAAATAGGCAATGACTCTATGCTAGCTTTCACTGAAGAACCTCATTGTCTAATGATATGAAAAATAGATGGGTATACATATTGTCATATCAAATTGATAATTTATATATAAAATATTTCTTTCGGTTATCACATTACATAAAAAACGAGCATAAAATTGCTCCCTTGTACAATCTTTTCGAATAGTTCATGTCTAACTAAACATAAAATAAATAAATTGCAAATAAAACTAAATAATATGTCTTGAAATAATTGTTAATAACTGTGTACAAATATTTATTTTTTGTTTAATCTATAATGTTTTACGATGTATCACAATATAAAATTATTATTGTACTTTATAACAATATGCGCGTTCATAGAATTATATCGCATAAATACGCAATATATGGCATTTGATTCTAATTTAATTGTATATCACATAAATACTTATTTAAAAAAAAAAACACTAATGGCACATAATACAAATTATTAATCGTACAAAACTAAAAATATTAAAAGATAATAGAATATTTAAGATTCCTTGTACATATCTTGAGATTGCTCGTTTTATATGCATTAATGCATCTATATCTGATGCGTAAGTACATTAGTTAGAGGCACACAGAGGCAACATCGCGCTTTGAAGAATTATTTGAAAATTTATACAAACGCGGGTAAAAATTTCGAGTTTGTACGTAAATGTCCAGGACGGATGTTTATATTAGTGTAACCAAACATGCGTAATTTCCTTTTTGATTTTGCACAGTACACTAGGCAATGTACATTTTATTGATATCGCACAAACAGTACATTTGATAGGTGTCCAAAGGCACTGCAAAAGCGATGAACGCAGTTTATTATAAAAGTGTCGGCGATCTCGGAGAACCAATATCATCAACTAATGATGTAGTATAAAGAAATAGAAAGATATCCTTATCCTTATGTGTAAAATTAAAAGTATCATATTCACATCACACATAATCTCATTATTATGTACTGTGTCTTATTGCCGCTTCAGTTATAAAGTATTTATCGTACTTTTCTTACTCTACGTCGCAATTTCGTACGTTCCACGTACGTACGTAAGCTCGACCCTATCTTACGATTTTCGCGACTAGTACAAAGAATGTAAAACGTCTTTCGCGTACGTAACAGTTTCAGGAGGAATGCGAAAGAATGTTCCTGCAGGCGCGTAACGTCAATCCAAAGCTGGATCACAATAAAACTGGCACTGTTAAAATGCATTTGCCATTGAGACCTCAGTAAGCTCATAAATTATATATACTTATACGCATTAGTTGTGTCCATTTTCACAATATAAAGGTAACGCATATCAACTGCGCTTCAATCATCAGCATTATCATCACTATCACTGACGTGGCACATTCAAGTCAACACAATCTGACATCAAATGCACAACACAACACCCATGACAACCAAATGTGCTCAACCTTGGAAGTATAAAAGTCTTTCATACGTGGTCTTTCTCTCAAGAGAAGAAATTAAAAATGCCACACATTACGTTCATGTGCAAGGAGGAGGCTGCTGTTGCGGAGAGGGAAGGGGCGCGACTGCGGCGGCGGCAGCAGCAGCATAGGACGACGGGTCTGAGGGATCGAGAAGCGGTGGCGGTGGCGGTAGGCCGCTACCACCGCCGCCTCTTCCTCTACCTCGGCCTCTTCCACGACCCCGACCCCGGCCCCTCCCCCTTCCGCGTCAACTCCGCCTCTCTGGCATCCCTATGTTGCTCGTTGTCTTTTCCAGGTAGGCCAGAGGCCCCTGAAGGGCGCTACTGCCCATACCGCCAACTGGGAACCCGGTGGCTCTACCACCTACACCACCCTGCGCCATGAACATGCCCTGCTGACTGACGGGTACACCAACTCCCTGAAGACCTGATGTAGGTGGTCCACCAGAACCCTGTTGCACCTGCAAAGTCACACTAAATGAGGATGTATCGTTAGGAACGCAAGGGAGAATTTCTACTGGCACATGTATACGTGCAGGGGAATGTAGTGAGATATGTAGAGTGTATATGTAGGGGAATGCATGAGAGTGTAGTGAGAAAACAAAATAATACAACAAAAACAATAAATTTCTACTCGATATCTATGTTTGTCTCTGATATGATATTATAAAAAAGAGAACTGTGCAAGCTGTTCGCGAAACAGCTATCCAAAAATATATTCCACATGCTGCATACTGTTCAGAAAGATAGACACGCGCGGGCGAACAGCCAGAATCGGATTTGTCGGGAATAATAATATATAGGCGAGGGAAATAAAAAAAAAAGTACAATGTTATTTTTCTTTCTTCTTTTTTGCAATGAACAAAGATATTTATTATGTCATGACATCTATTTGCGAGTCGAGACAATGTAAGTGAAACAGATCCAGACACTATCCAAATTGCAATGTGGGTATAATGCTTCTTTTATGAGTTATTTATGAACTTAAGATTTAAATGTTCTATATATCATTATTATCATAGAGATGAGTAAAGAAATGTATCTTTATCCGCGGAACACTATAGAAGGAACTCGACGGTATTCTAATTTACAAATGACAATGTTTTACTACAGATTTTTGTAATCGAAATGCAGTTTGTAACGTTTCTTGATGTGCATGCAATATCTACATGCAAATTATTTTATGCATACAGAGAATGACGCGAAAAAATGTCACTCGTGAGAAGAAGTATTTAAAAAATGAAATAAAAAACCCTGACTGTATGTTCATCGTTCTGTTATATAAATGTGATCTTTTTTATGAAATAATGTCAAATGTGGTCACTAGGTCTTCCTATTAATGTAAAGTATAATATATATATTATAAATACTCCTAAGTTTTATTATTGCCATTATCAGATTTATTACATTTCATTTTTCTTTTTTTTTTTACTAAGTATTTGTACATATTATTGTACAAATTATTGTATATTGTATTCATTGTTTTGGCATCGTCTTACAATAACTGTTTGTACATATAGTTAATTCTTCGATACTTTTCTCACGATGAAAAAATTTATATTTTTGTATATAATCCTATCTTGTAGGTAATTATAAAAAAAATTTAATCTATTCTCTTTTGTACAATACATTTTTACGTTTGTGTATAGGAATTGTATAAGGCACTATCACACGTAATATTATAATCGTCGTGCGTATGTGGGGAGACCCGATTATTTTCTCGATGATCCGTATGAAAAATTTAGCGATATTCTATAACATTTTGAAGTGAGTATTTCCGTCATCAAGAGAGGGAGACAGAGAGTGTGTGTTTACTTAATAATATGATTTTCATAAATGTGATTCTCCAAACACATGCGTTTTCTCTCGTACAGACATATACTCACACATGTAAAGCAATCATACATTTCAAATGCAACGAATAACAGAAGGATATTGCGATGCATCATTATAATGATTGTATAATTTATTATTTTTCAATAATGTATATAATATTTCTATATTTCTCAGTAATATATACAATAATATATTGCAATATCCTCCTGTACATATATATGTACACAAATATACATTATAATATATACATTTAGTATATGCATATATTACACGTAATTAATACGTATAATTACGATATATATTATAAAAAAGCGAGTTTCGCGATATAAATATGATTACCGTTGTACAAGAATAGATTTAACATTAAAATCTCATTTAAAAAAAATGATTAATAAATTGTATGAACAATTTGATCAATTTACGATTTAAAATAACTACACGAAATAAAAATCGCTTAATGACGGAAAATCGCTAAAAGGTATAAACAATCCCGTTTCCTCTAATATCTCCACGTCACTATCGCTCAGTTCAATCGTACTATTAGTCGTTTCTTTCTCACACTTGTTTTCTTCTTCCTTTTAATTAGTAAAATGTACGTTTAATATCAAATTTAACAACAATCTACTTGAATAATAGGAAAATTTTAACTTTGATCGTAACAGCGTCACTTAAATACCTGTGATTGCAACGGATGTTGCATTTGCTGCTGCAATTGTTGCTGCAATTGTGGATGCTGCTGCTGCTGCTGCTGTTGCTGCAGTTGCTGTTGCAATTGCTGCTGATGCTGCAGTATCTGCTGCTGTTGCTGCATCGAAGCGTTACTGCTACCACTCGCAGTTTGCGAATTCTGCCCGCTTTGATTTCCGTTTGGTAACCCTATCGACATTAATACTAATGTTATTGAGCATCTCATTGAATTAGGTAACTATTGTTAGTCTTAATATTAATATTACTTAATATTACCACTGGGTGCTGGGCCTTGAGCGGGCGACTGCGCCCATCCTTGCAGATCCGACAACATATTCTGCCAGACAGCGATCTTCTCGTTATGCCTTCTTATCAGGTCCTCCTTGCGCGCCAGCTCTGATCTCAGATCTTGAATCTCTTCCTTGACACACAGCTCAGGTTTTAGCGCAGACAGGAGGAATCTCTTTTGCAAGAAGAAAGCCTCCATCTGCCTAGCCAGGTCTATGAATCTCATGGTAGCCTGTTCCATTTCCGCACGACCTTCGTCTTTATCCACTATCAAACCACCAGATGCGCCAGTTCCACTGTTACCCAATCCCTCGTCCTTTGTCAATATACTCAAACATTGCTGGAAAGCAATAATTAATATTCAATAAACTATGCTCACATTCTAGAATATTTCAGAAGCTTTAAATTTAGAATCAGACAACGCCCAAGAAAAATATATATTAATTACTTCGTTATATTTTTAACTTATATGAATGTTTCTCTTAAGAAATCTTTCAAGTATATAACAGGTTCTCTTGTTCTTAAGAAAATTATAAAAATTGAAGAAATATATATTCCATTATATAATCTACATATTCCATTTAAAGACTGAGACTTTTATCTCTATAAATATTTATATTATCAGAATTATTTTTCTAATACTTTTCGTTTTTTGCTGTATTTCAGAGTTAAAGAGTTCTAATAATTCTATCTTTTTCAAACCACTTTCACAATCAACACTTGCCAGCAATCATCACTTTCACTTTCCAATTACATAAAGCCACATCTATTTTCAGGTAAAAAAAAAATACCATTTCCATTTGAACAATGCTGCGAAATGCTAATAGTGATGCACGTCAATAGAGCAATGATGGAGCATTTATTCGACAATTCTTTGAGTTTTACATCCCAGATATACCACGTTTGCGAGGAAATGCCACCGAGCTCCTCAATTATGCGGACATGAATAACGCGCGATACATCAATCAACGACGATACGGAGAGATGTAAATAGTTGAATTCTACCTGAAATGATTCTTCAAACTCATCAACGAGGTTACCACCACTGTTGGTCGGCGTCGCCATTACACAGGTGTATCCGCGCGTTCGCGGATCCGCGCGCGAAAACAACCGTCTCGATTTCGCGCCGCGCTTGACGACAACAGGCTCGTGCTCCTTCTTGTCCTTGATCCCGTATGATCACTGTAATCCCGTAGTCCCTGTGCGAATGTGCGAAACTCATCCCGCATCCCGCATGCGACCCATGGTGGAAGAACACAGGTGTGCTCTTGCGCATATATTTCTAACAACCAATGAGAAATTGATGCCAGATACCTCCATCTTGCCGCGGTACAGTTTGAATTTGTAGCGTCAAGTGGACCGCAGCCTTACTTATTTATTTTTATGTTTTACTTATTTATTTTTGTCTTACAAATAGAAGAACCATGATAATCTTGAAATAACTTTTCCATAATTTTCGCTGTTTCAAATAATTCGACACAAGGGCTGATTATTCTTCCTCTAGAAATATGATTAATCCAGTCGTTATCTGGATTAATCAATAATTCTGTTGGGGTTCCGAAAAAAATGAATATTTTTTGAATTCTTTCGAGAATTGTTTTTACACGTTTTTATTGAACACGTACTCATGATGATATGTCACAATATCACTTGGTACAACCTTAAATGTTTTGAAACTGACACTTAAAAATGGTTGCATCTGGCATCTGCGCAGAACCGTATGAAATTCGTCACGAGTATGAGCACACCTGTGTTCTTCCACCATGATGCGACCCCTTCCCGCCGATTTGACACGGTCATAGATATACGATATCTATGATGAAGACACGAGACAGAATTTTTAAGTGTTCGGTATTGATAAGTCCGATCTTCAATTTCACATTATTGGGTAATTATCAACGACATTATCGACGAAATTATGCTCAATCGATGCGTTTTTACACGAACCGAAAGAATCTGGCAGAAAAAAATGTCGCCCTGCCCCGCGACGCGAGATATTAAATAGTTGACGAGATGTACATACATACGTAGCAACTTGCGTTCCAAAATTCACTCTGAGTAACTAAAATCTATAGTTTACGTCACGTACATACACTATAGCATTTCAGTTAACTAAAAAGGCCATTGCACGTACCAAAGTCTTAGTCATAAGCCTAGTTTACACCGATCACTTGATACGCGTATTAAATAGTAAATAACTAGTAAATAAGTCTGATTATTGGCTGATCAGTTCAAATATACTATTTGATACGCGTATCAAGAGATCGGTGTAAACTAGGCCATAATCGTAAGGCCGTAAGAAAATAGACCAATCACAGTCGATTATTCTCCTTGAGCTCGAGGAATAATCGAGTGTGATTGGTCTATTTTCTTACGGCCTTACGATTATGACTAAAACTTTGTTACGTGCAATGGCCTTAAGGTGGAAGCACATAAAATTGCAGGAGACATAAGCAGAATGCAGAAGTCATATGCGCATGCGCTATGGTATCTGTTAGAGCTTTACGGATACCATAGCGCATGCGCATATGGCTTCTGCTTTCTGCTCATGGCTCCTGCAATTTTATGTGCTTCCACCTTTAAGGCCCCGGACACACACTTTTTCGTAACAGTAACAGTAGGATTTCGACCAATCGTGTTACTCGATTCGGGAACGTACGGTCGTACGTTTTCGAATCGAGCAACGCGATTGGTCGAAATCCTACTGTTACTGTTACGAAAAAGTGTGTGTGGCCAGCTTAAGGGTCGACAGGAGTAAGAGTAGAGACCTCTGTCGGCCGGTCGGGAATTACGGATTCGCTTTTCCCAAAGTTTAGCCTAATTAATTAACGAATCTCACTTTACTTATGCTCGTTTTAATCAGTAAGATCAGCCGCAAGCCGGATTTTGGAAAAAGGATCGAAATAAAATTTATAATAAATGTGCGGGAAACGCGCAGCTAGACACGGGTCAGGTTGGGTCAGCTCATAGAGATATAAGAATTCTTATATCTCTATGGGTCAGCTGCGAGTCCGTATTTTATTATAATAAATTTTTAAGAGCCGAAATGCAAAATCCGGCTCTGTACCAGCTTGCGGCTGATCTTACTGATTAAAATGAGCCTAATTTTAATGAGATTCATTACGTAATTAGGCTAAACTTTGGGACAAACGATTCTCATTAGTAAGAGCAGCTTATGGGGAATTTCCGTGGTAACAATACTGACAAGGGCTGTGTAAGCTGTGTTCAGACTAGTTCAGAGGTGCCAATGGTGCTGTTTGCCCGCTGCCTGCGCGCCTGGTGGGGACACGCACATAGCTGACGGATCCGTGTACGTGTGCGCTGGGCGCTCGGCGGCGACTCGGCGCGGCTCGGCCAGCTTCGGGCGGGTAAAAGATATACTGTGCTACTGTGGTAAAAGAGCGCATACATAAGCATAGACATAGCCGGTTCGAAAGTCGGCGTATGCGTTCATATGCGCGTCGGCTGACTTGGCTCGTCTGTTATGTTTCGCGTATCCCTTCTGATGTTGATTTATGATTAAAATATATATTATGACATTGCACATGACAATAAAATATCTCTTCCCACACTAGGCGTGAAACACTATCGTGTGTCTCTTATTTAAAAGTAATGAAACTAATAACAAAAAATGTTAGTGAAATTGATCAATTACATAAATAATATCTAATGAAACTATATTATCTTTATTTTGAAAATAAACTGTATAAAAGAAATAAAAAACAGAAAAAGCGTAAATAATAGAAATCCACTCTTGGCCAATATGTACGCTTTCTTCTAAAAAAAATCATGTTATTAATGTAGAAAATAAATTATTGTTAACACAAGAAAAGTGAAATAAAACATTAAATTATATATTGTTTGTTTTAGAAATATTGTTTTAATAGTATAATTACTTCGCTAATGGCAAATACATGTAATATAAAATTTAAAAAAGTAATAAATTATTTGTGCAACAATATGATAAATTTATTGTAATATTTGTTCTCAAATAAATGCATGGACAACGTACATATTGTTGCTCAACGGAAACCGCGAGAAGGTGGTGGTCTCTTCCGTCAAGAGGAAATGTAAAAATTGTTTTCTTTAATATTAAAAAAAACAATTCTTTACATTCCCTACGAATACAGATAGAACAAAGAAAGAGAAAGATAAAGAGAGAGATAGAATTGGTATAAAGGATAAACATAAAAAAAATATAAAAGAATAGACAAGAATATACAGGACAGAACATAGAAAAAGAAAAAATATTAAAAGAGTATTAGTTTTAATTTACACGATTTATAATTCACGACAGTTTGTGACAAAATTGCATTGTATAAAAAAACATTCAAAAAATTAGAGGTACATGTAAAAAAATATATACAGATACAGACATATGTATACATACATACATTAATTATACATCTTCAAATGTTCTCTAGATTACAAAATACAAAACATAACAAATAGAATTATATAATTTTTCTGACGTGAATTATATTAGATTGTCTAAAGTAACCTTTACACTAGAAATACCAAATAATTTTCTACCGTTTCAATTTTTAAAAGTAATGTTACATTAATTATGTTAAACATCAAATAATTTTTTTATTATAATCTACATTTTCTACTTTTACAATAAAAAACAGGATATTAAAAAATATGTAGAAACGATTGAAAATAGCTTTTGGTATTTCTAGTGTTTAATCGGAAAAAAGTGCACATGTTTTATTTATTATAATACTGAAAATAATAACATATTTATAGCAAAAATATTTCCGAAATCATCCAAACTATTACAACTACAGTCAATTTTTGAAATTAACAAAAGAAATATGTTATAATAAAATCAAAATCGATATAAATAATGTTATTACAAAAAAAAACAGATATAAAACTTAATTTATAACCACGGATTACATACACATATATACATATATGTATTTAATGAAATAATAATATGTATATTTCTTCCATATTTTTTACACAATTTAAAATAGAAAAAGTTGTTTGATTTTGCCAAGAGAAACATTCTATAGGAATGTCGTACTTAAAAGTACAGTTTTGTGCAAAATTATGTGCAGTTGTTTAAAAAAACAACGTTTTAAAGGACTGTCAATCAAAACCCGTTTTTATCTTGAAAAACTAACATGAAATACGTACATTACGTCCGTACATTCAACGTACGTTGAATACCTCGTCAAATAATAATTTATTTTCTTCTTTACCAATGACTATTTTAAACATTTTGTACAATATATTGTAATACAGGCCGTAGAGCTGTGTTCCGAAATTGACTGCCAGTGTTAAAAATCTATAATACATGTGACGTGACCTATAGATTTTTAGTACTGGC